TGCCCGACCGACGACGACGAGACGGTTGCCGTTAGGAAGCAGACGCGCACGTTCGACTATGTCTGGCGTTCTGGCGTCGCGGGAGGCCTGGCAGGATGTGCTGTAAGTAACAATAGGAATGAATCGGCTAGGAGAGAATATCCGTCATGCTGACGCAGGTTTGTAACACAGGCAAAGACGGTTGTCGCACCTCTTGACCGAGTCAAGATTCTGTTCCAGGCGAGCAGTCCGCAATTCGCAAAGTACACTGGGTCGTGGTTCGGTGTCGTGACGGCAATGAAGGATATTCGCTCCCACGAAGGCTTCACGGGGTTGTACAGAGGACACTCGGCCACTCTCCTCCGAATCTTCCCCTACGCCGGAATCAAGTTTCTTGCGTACGAGCAGATCCGCTCCATGATTATCCGGAGGCAAGATCAAGAGACGCCCTGGCGCCGGCTTATCAGCGGCTCCCTGGCGGGCATCACATCCGTCTTTTTCACATATCCCTTGGAGGTCATTCGGGTCCGGTTAGCGTTTGAGACAAAACACGGCGGTTCCTCGTTATCCGCGATTTGCCGGCGGATCTACAACGAGCGTTTTGTGCGGACATCCCCCGCCGCCCAAGCGGCCGGCACCTCGGCAACTGAGGCGGCCGCCTCCGCCGTCACCGCCGTTGCCCCGCGCTCGGGACTGATCAACTTTTACAGAGGCTTCACCCCGACCATGCTGGGCATGCTCCCTTACGCTGGCATGTCCTTTTTGACGCACGACACGGCCGGCGACGTTCTCCGCCACCCCAAGCTCGCGAAATGGACAACGCTTCCGCGGCCCGAGAACTTGCCTGCGGGCAAGCCTACGCCGCTGCGATCATGGGCCGAACTACTAGCCGGTGGTGTTGCCGGCCTCATCTCCCAGACCGCGTCGTACCCCTTGGAGGTCATCCGCCGGAGAATGCAGGTCGGCGGTGCCGTAGGCGACGGCCACCGACTGCGCATCAGCGAGACGGCCGCCATGATTTTCCGAGAGAGGGGTATGCAGGGGTTCTTCGTGGGCTTGACTATTGGCTACGTCAAGGTCGTGCCCATGGCAGCGGTCGCCTTTTACACATACGAGAGATCCAAGATTTGGCTGGGAATTTAGACTGTCTATCCTCTGTTGCGTGGGTTGCTGTTTGAGTTTGGCGTTGTTGGAACACTGGGACAAACAAGCATTTTTTGGGAGAACTTTCTTTCTTTTTCATGAAATACGCGGGTTAGAGGAGCAGTTCTCTTGGGACCAAATCAAAGGAGTAAGAAGGAGCACTAGAATGGCGGCTGTTCTGCATATGCCAATCATCCAATACATTTCTGGATTTATTGCGCCAACGCCAATACCTTGACTTCACTGCGCGATGTGGATGATGTGACTGGAACAATTGGATGGGAGGATGGTATTCCAACTTTGTGATTCATTAACTCATTCCTGCTCCTCACCAACACATCTTGTAATCTCGACACCATCCTAGCGAGAAATTGTCAGTACCCTCATGAGCCAGAATAGTCAATCCAAGAGACGGAGAACTCACAGGCACGCCAGTCGGCTCAAAGCTGTTGATGAGCTTACTCTCGTATCGGAGGTTCGGGTTCCCGATGCGCGACAAGTCTAACCTCTCCTCACCCTCACGCTTCTCGTACTGCTTTGCCGTGCGCTCGTCGTGCCACCCGGCCGCCTTCCTCGCGGCGCCGACGTCCTTCGCGGCGGCGCGCTTCTCGGCCACCGAGCTGCGGACGTACTCGAGGTAAGGGGGGTTGCCCGGCTTGATGACGTTGTCGGCGGCGAGAACAGAGCCGGGGCCGACGAGGCCTAGTTGTTCGGCGAGTTTGAGGTCCGTTGTGTAGGCGGGTTTGTAGTGGTCGAGGAACATGAGGTCGATTTTGGAAAAGGTGCCGTCGGCGTGCAGACGCGCGATGGAGGCGTCGCTGGGGCCGACGACGACTTTGACTGTGTCGGTGAGGCCGGCGAGGTCGACGAGAGAGCCGATGACTGCGGCGAATTCGGGGTTGCGCTCGAGGGAAAAGTATTGCGCTCCGCCTCCCGGGGAGGCCTTGCGAACGGCGGCGCCGAAGAGGATGCAGGAGTAGCCTACGTAGCCTCCTAATTCGACCTGATGGCGGGTGTCAGATTTCATCCAATCTCTCTCTCATCTCTGCCTCAAAAGGGAGGAACCAGGGCAGAATGTTCAGATCATGCATAAGCAGCTAGCAAGAGCGGTCGGATGGTTACAGGTGCGATTCTCAAAGTCTGCTGAACTTGCGATGGAAAACCGCATTCAAGAATGAAGGTTTGTCTCTTACCATCACCTTAGGCTTGACTTCCGCGATTAAGTCTGTCACGATCTTGCCCTTGTCCTCGCCCACGTTCATCAGGTACTTTTTAGTCCGGCCAAAATCGTCAATCGCCTTCAACACGCCCTCGGGCGAGCCGCGGATCTCATCGAGGTTAGGCTGGCTGTAGACAAAGTGTAGAAGTTCGATCTCGCGGCCGTCATCGAAGAACACTTCCTCCTGGACGGCGTATGCCTTGCTTTCGTCAAAGTGAGGCATCTTGACTGAGGTACTCGTGGCAACCGTAACAAAGTCACAGTCGTTTTCTTGGTAGTTCTTGTGACTCAATTGGAGAAGGAAGATCTATGTAGACAAAGTAATCGAAGGAAGAAAGCGAGAAGGAAGGGAAAACAGAACAGAGAGCATTCCCAGACAACTTTTTCCAAGGGCCGCTGGTCTAGTTATCATCACGATGGATGAAACAGACCTTCCCACCACCATTAAACGCCGCCTCCGTCGCGCGCAAGCAAAGAATTCCGAGCAAAGCAGGCACATTCGACGGGAACCGTAGCTCTCGGCGACCTTGACCACCTTTTCCACACCCTCCTACCCCAACTTTCCCGTTCCCCCCCTCCATACTTGTGGAGCTGCCCCTCCTTCCTCCGATCTTTCCAATCTGAATTGACCAGGCAATAATTGCCGGCAGCACAGCAGCGGCAGCAATAGGAAGAAAGCTCAGCCATTATCCATGACATGCCTTTGGCTATTGAAAAACTGCTTGGAGGCAAGGCGCCACAGGGTACCTATGTAGCTCCGGCCTAAGAAGGAATAAGGGAGAGACATGAATCTGGTCATGGCGGGGTAGCTGGCCGGACCTTGCAATCCCGCGAGATCGTGATTTGCAGCATCCGCAATGTGTTGAGGGAGAATGCGGTATGTACCTACCTTTTCCTGGAAGTGGAAGAAGTGGCACGTACACTACACGAATACAAAGGTACTTCATCAGTACGGGAGTACGGGAGTACGGGAGTACAAAATCATGTGCTTTCGCGACGATTGCGGGTAGTGGCACGCGGAGAGGGGCAGTTGGCTGGGCACGGTAAATCATGACGCGCATACCACCTCATCCACCGCGTCGACGATGTAATTGAGTTTTGCTTCCGAGCTTTCTCAACTGCACACCAACTGCAGCTTTTTCTCAGCTCATGCCAGCTTTTCTCGGCCGACTGCGGGGTTTCCCAAACGTCTTAACTGCCTTTGGTCTTTTTCTCAATCAAGGTGCGTCAAGCCACCTGTAGCACGAAACCAGGGGGAGGGGGCGTGGCAAGACGAAGGGACGCCGCTGATCCAACTCTAGCATGCGACTCGATGCTTTCATCTGATCCATAGGCTCCCACGCTTGACAGCATTTGAACAAACCAGATGGACCAGAAAATGTCGACTGCATCCATGTTCATAACGCAGGCTCTGCTTCCCCCAGCCAACGAGAAGCTGTCGAGGTCCCGATGCGGCTCGCCGGAGGGTTGTCTCCCCCTGGTCTGTCCTCCCCCCTCTTCCCCACGTGCGAGATCTAGATCTCACGACTCGTGTCGATCATCTCCTGAGAGCGAAGGCAAGCAACATTTTGGGGCCTGAATTTGTCTCTGAGGGCAAGCGTAGCTAGCCTGCTCTAGCCACGCTTGGCTCCGCGTTCCTACCGCAAAATTGTCGAATGTCGATGACGGAATCGACTTTTCAGACTGAAACATGGGATTTCTCTAGCTCTCGTTCTGTTTGCCGTTTTGCTCGACATGACAGGCGGCAAATAGGGAACATCGGAAGACACTCCGAGTATAGCACGCCATCTTCCCGCCCCGCGGACCGCATTGGTTTGTGACACGACAACCAAGCAGAGAGCCTGTGGCATGCGGAACTAACGCCAGAGCGGACGCCAGCCCTCGTTTCTAGACGTCTCCGGGGCCACGAGCTGTAGGCCTCATTGGCAAATGTCATGAGCATCACGACACTTTTTCTGCACATTGTCGTCACGCAGCAACCGTGATACGAGAGGAACGAAGAGATCTGATATGAGAAAAAACCGCGCACCAAATGAGGACGATCTCGTCAAAGCTTGCCCGTACTAGCAACTCGCTTGTGCCACCAAAGTTTGACGGCAGCATTGAGTCGAATGTACTTGTCACCGTTTCTCCTCTCTTGTCAACTACCGCGTTGCGCCAGCTGCTTCTACCCAAAGGTAAAGCAGCGTAGCTCCAAGCTTAGGCGCCCGGGACAAGCCGGGGTCTTGCCTTTTGGCTCCGACCCTTGCTGGTCGTCTCTCGATGACTTGCTTTCGTCTGCCTTGGGATTGTGTAACTTGATCCTCTTTTGAGGAGTCGGTCAAGCTGGAGTGGGCCTAGGTGAGCGTTGGAGGCGCAAGTGATGATGTCGACAATTCGTCGACAATTCTCCGGGGTTTGACATTCGCCGAAAGAGTATTGTTCACTGGAACCAGAAGTATCTCATACGGCTGCGGTCTTGTCTCGTAGCTCTAGCTATGGGGACCTTAATTCATTCAAAAGCCTGATGTTGGAAGCACCTCTCTGGCAGATTCCTTTTATCCTTACTCTCATCTCATTCAACAACTCTCAACGTCTTTCATCTTGACAAGCGCATTCTCCTCTCTCCCATTGCGCAATACACAGACCGATTCAATTTCTGTTCTTCCCCTTTCACAAGATGGCATCAGACATGAAGGCGACGGTTGAGCCCACCAAGAAGGGTTTCTCCGTCTGTGGTTACGAGAAGATCGAGTACGACTTTGAGTTTCTCGATGGCGTTTTCAACAAGCAGAACAGCCAGCTGGCCGACTGTTACTCGCGGTGGAAGCGATGCTTGGCTGTCATGGACCTCAACATCTTCAATATCTACGGCAAGGAGATGAAGGAGTACTTTGATCACTACAACATTGAGCTCAAGATTCACAAGACCATGATTGGTGAGAAGGCCAAGTCCATGGAGACGTTGCTGAGCATCGTCGACTCCATGACAGAGTTCGGTGTCTACCGCAAGGTAAGTTTCTCATCGTGATCGAGATATTGAAGCTATCTAACGCCAATTGAAGGAGCCTGTTCTTGTTGTTGGAGGTGGTCTGGTCACAGATGTTGCTGGGTATGGTTCCCTATAGGAGTTCCCTTGACTTGCTTGACTTTTAACACAATCTAGCTTCGCATGCGCTGCCTACCGCCGCAACACACCATTCATCCGCATTCCCACAACAGTTATTGGCCTGATTGATGCTTCCGTATCCATCAAGGTCGCTGTCAACTACGGCAACTACAAGAACCGTTTGGGCGCATATCACGCACCAACCCACACATTCCTCGACTTCACTTTCTTGCGAACTCTTCCCACCGCACAGATCCGCAATGGCTTTGCCGAGCTGATCAAGATCTCTACTTGCGCCCATCTGGAGACCTTTGACCTGCTTGATCGCTTCTGCGAGGAGCTGATCAAAACTGGATTCGGTCGCACTGATGGAGCCAGCAAGGACGTCAGGGATGCTGCTGACAAGATCAACCGCAATGGTATCCACGAGATGCTGAAGCTTGAGACTCCCAACCTGCACGAGATCATGCTTGACCGTGTCATCGCATACGGCCACACGTAAGACAACCTGGCCCTGCATGCGCCACAAATTTCCAGAAGCTAACCCCGCGCAGTTGGTCGCCCCTCCACGAGCTCTCCCCTGACGTGCCCCTGCGCCACGGCCACGCCATCTCTATTGACATGGCCTACTCTGCAACTCTGGCGCACGTCCTCGGAAAGCTCTCATCAGATGAGCACCGCCGTCTGTTGAACCTCTTCTCCCGCGCCGGTCTTTCCATGGACCATCCCCTCTTTGACGAAGACATGCTTGAGAAGGCTACCTCTGCCATCCTCAAGACCCGTGATGGCAAGCTGCGCGCCGCCGTTCCCTCACCCCTGGGCAACTGCGAGTTCCTCAACGATATCTCCCACGAGGACATGTGTGCGGCCCTAAAGGTGCATAAGGACCTGATGAAGGAGTACCCCCGTCAGGGTGCCGGCCTCGAGGCCTACGTCGATGCTAGCGATACCGGCTACACGATCAATGGCTCTTCCGTAGAGGATGAGTCTCGCAAGCACATGAACGGCGTCGAGCAGACCGTCACCCGTGATGACACCATCTCCTCCAACGGTTCCTCGACACCCGAGTACGGCTTGTCAAATGGCAAGAACTTGGATCAGGACAAGGCTACGTATGCTGCTGCCGGCTTCGAGCCCGAAGTTCTGAAGAAGCTTAACGCTGAGGAGATGAAGAGCTCCAGCACACATGGCAAGGTTCATGTTGATGAGGAGTGTTGTTAGAGCAGGCATACCGAAAAGTTTTCCTTTGTAAAGCGGCGAAACGAGTATTGTTAGTATAATTGCATCAACTAGGGGTCATTAAAAACTCGAGCACAGCTCTTGAGGAAATTCAATGGATTGATAAGTCATTTCTCATCATACTTTTGATGGCATGTGCAAAACTATTTCCCGATCATACTTGATTCTTCTCATTTCCTCCCGCCCGCAAAAGAGAAACTCAAACCAACCTCATAATCCATGACCCAAATCATATCCACCTACTCGTCCCCCCCTTCGACCCGCATCATAGACCCTCTCATCCTCACACCTCGTCACCAACCAGAAATACAAAGCCTGCCCGGCTAGCTCAATCGGTAGAGCGTGAGACTCTTAATCTCAAGGTTGTGGGTTCGACCCGTAAGTTACCATGTACACATGAAGATGCATCGCTTGAACATCGTCACTAACTCATCCCAGCCACGTCGGGCTCAATTCCCGTCCGCGATTGAAGCGCACTCATCTTTTTTTTTTTTTTGGAGATCTTGTGGTCATGGAATAAGAGAATTTCGAAAGTTTGGTTTGCTTTTGCTGGTTTGTTCGGGTTCAGGGAGACTCGTGTGTGGTTGTTCAGGTGAGGTTGACAATGACAATTGTAGGAATTGTGATTAAAGAGCTGAAAGTGAGATATTGAGCTTGCATAGAGTGGGTGGCATCAGCCTCCAAGATGAGCGACAAATAGGAGAGGCCATCCTTGGTTCTTGTGATTTGATCTCTCTGTTTATTTCTTTAGACTGCGCAAATGCAAAACGCCCATCTCGACGATTTTTTTCATGTACTCATACATTTTTCTTTGCTACTTCTCTCCATCCTTCCATCTTGACTAACCCCCTATGTATCTCTGCCTTTAGCTGCAGGTATCATGATACTCCAGAAACGCTGGCGGGACATCTACGGGCAGGGCTCAATCGTCATCTTCGACAAGCCATCCTCCCTCCGCCGCAGCGCGCATGACCAAATCCACGCTCTTCTGCGCATAGTCCACCATGCCCCGGCGCTTGGCTCTCGCACGCTTCGCCGCACGCTTGCCCTTTTTTTCCCAGCAGGGCGTCCAGGTCCAGTTCGGCCGAATTCGAGTCCGCCTTCTAAGCTTCTTCGGTAGTAGGAGCAGCAGCGACGACCGCAGCATCCTCAGTCTCCGCAGCAACAGCGGGCGCGGGCTCGAGATCCATCTCCTCGGGCGTGGGGGCGTCCTCAATGTCAATGAGTTCCTTCTCCGCGACATAGGCGTCCTCCGCCGCCTTCTTCCTGGCAGCCTCGTCGATTGCCCTCTGCTTCTGCAGGCTGTTGTTGATGAGCGGGGTGGTGTCGTCAAAGATGCGGAGCAGCATGGCCGTCCGGTCCTCCTTGGGCAGCATGAGGTTGAGCGAGTGGATGCTCTTCCACAAGGGGAGAGCCATGCGCTCGCTGAACGCCGGGTCGGAGCCGTCGGGCTCGACGCGGAGCACGCAGCAGCCCATGCCGATGTCGCGCACGCGCTCGCCAATCTCGCCCATCTGCTCCCACTCGCCGTCGGCGATGCGGGGGAACATCTCAATCAGCAGACGGCGCAGCGTCTCCTTCTTGGTCAGGCGGACGACGCGCTGCTCGCCGACGTAGCCCTGGAGGATGGGCATGCCCTCGGACTGGATGCGCCAGCGGCAGATCTCGGCCGAGGGGGCGTCCTGCTTCATAAACATCTTTACGCCGCCGTGGATGACCTTGATGCCGCGGCCCTCGTTCTCCGTGAGGATGTCGCGGGCCAGCGCCGAGGTGTAGTAGACAGCCTTGGCGGGTTCGCCCGTGGCGTTGCGGACCATGTAGCGGTCGTCGGGGAAGCGCGACGAGATGTGGTAGAAGTCGCGAATGTTCTTAATGACCTCGTGCTTGGGGTCCAGGTACTTGAACGGCTCCTCGACACGGCCGTGGATGTTGCGGTTCGAGTTCTTGGGCTTCTCTTGTGTTGTCGTCTCGAGCTTGGCCTTCTTGGTCTCTTGGGTCTCGCCGTCAGCCGTCTCGTCTTCTCTCGGTCGCTTAACACCGTTTGTAGCATCCTGCTCTGCCTCCTCGGCCTTTTCCTCACTTTTTACTTCTTCGGTGGCCTCGGTCGTAGCCTCAGGGGCCGTCTCGGGAACCGTCTCAGGGACTGCCTCGACTTCCTCCTCGGGCTTCTCAGCCGCATCGACCTCCATCTTCGTCTCGGTGTTCTCGGTCTCAGTCGCGGGCGTGGCATCAGCGGGCGTGGCAGCCGCAGTCGCTCCATTTGACTTGGTAGACTCGTCGCCCTGCTTCTGGTCCTCGGGGCGGATCTTAACCTCGGCCTTCTTCTGCAGAACAGTGATGAAGAAGCCTCCAGTGTCCTGCTGGTGAGCGTAGACACGCATGCAGCGCTCGAGAGGCAGGTCGGTGCAGACGCTGCCCTCCAACGGCGGGAACATGGTCTCGACGAGTCTTCCGGGAGCAACGCCCTCGGTGCTGTTCTTGGTCCACTCATCGACCTCGGCCTGAGAGCTCCACAGCCTGCCAGACTTGTCCATGATCTGCCACTTCTTCATACCGGGGGCGCGAACAAGACCCTGCAGCTCGTTGCTGCAGTCGACGATCTCGACCTTGTCCGGGCCACCGGCGCGATCGATGGCGGCCGCGACGACGGACTCATTCTCGACGGGGTTCATACTGCAGGTGGAGTAGACGACACGGCCTCCGACCTTGAGCATGGCGAGCGCGCGCAGCAGGATTCTTACCTGGGTGACGTGAAGACCCAGGGCACTGCCGGGCTGCCAGTCCTTCCACAGGTTCATGTTCTTTCTCAAGGTGCCGTCGCCCGAGCACGGCACATCGGCGAGGATTCGGTCGAACTTGAGGTATCGAGGCTTGGTCGGGGTCTCGGGGTTCGCGGGGAGCCTGATGGCGGGGTACTGAGTGGCGTCGTGGTTGGTAACGAGCAGGTTGGGGGATCCGAGACGCTTAAGCTGGTGGACAAGCATGTGGCCGCGCTTGTAGTCGGAGTCGTTGGCGATGAGGAGGCCAGTGGTGCGGCCAGAGTCCGAGGGGTCGGCCGAGAGATCAGCCTGGCGCTCCTCCTCCGTCTCGTCGCCGAGGTCGAGGCCATCCTCCTTGGCAAAGGCGCGCAGAACCTTTCTGACTCTCGCCTCCTCGCCCTGGTGAATCATCTCGAGAAGCTGGCCGGCCTTGCTGCCGGGCGCGGCGCACATGTCCAACACGGTCATGCCGGGGCGGACGTCCATCAAGAGGGGAGGAATCATGCTGACGACCTCCTGTCTGCTGATGTTGCCGACGGTCGTCTCGGAGACGAGAAACTTCTGGAAGGCGGCAAAGGGAGGGTATTTGCGAATAATGTTCTTCGGGGTGGTCATCCACCAGGCGAGCTCGTTGGGATACCAAGACAACGGCTTGGGGGGCTCGACAGTGCGTCCATCGGCGTGCTGGATGTTCTGGATTTCGGGCATGTATCGGGTTTGCAGCAGCTTCTTCACGGCCAAGGCGTGGCTGGATTTCGGGTCAGTTTGAGATCGCGCGAGACTAGAAAACGCGTCTGTCTTCTGTCAAGTGACTGATGCCTTACCCTTTGGAGCCGCAGAAGCGGAAGCTGTTGGGCAGATCTCTGCGCAGAGCATCCCAGAAGGGACCCTGCTCCTCCTCTGAGAGACCAAAGATGGTGTTGTAGTAGCGCTGGAGTCTCTCGTTCTCCTTCTTGACGGCAGGGTAGTTCTGCCACGACTCGCTGCGAGGCTGGCGACCGCGGTCACCGCCGCCCTCGGCGTTGCTGCCGCCGCGGGACTTGCCCTTCTTGCCTCCCTGATGGAATTGCTGTCAGCGTGCGCGAACAGGCAGCAGGAGTCAATTGAAAAGCGACCGCAAAAACTTACTCTGAACTTGCGACCCATGATGCGTCGCGGGGGTGGGAAGAGAAGATTAAGTTAACGTGCGTGGAGGGGTATGGGTTGCGCACGGCGTGTGTTGTTCGAAAAGAAGGGAAATTCAGAGGTGAAAGTTGTCGCAGTCCAATCCTATCAGCGTTGGTGGGTAGTGTCGCGCGGTGTGAAATTTTGCCGTCACCAGAAAAAGAGCAACTAAGAAAAAAAAAAAAAAAGTTGGAGGTTCGGGCGGAATGCGCCAACATGCGGCCAGCCCCTCGATTGAAGATGATTGGCCTATCAGAGGATAGCTAGGTATGGGGAGCATCTAATCACCCCGCATCGCACCCCTGTACCCTCAGGGTCCGCCCCGGCCCCCCGCCCGGCCTGTATCCGCTGAAGCCCGCTGAAGCCCGCTGGAGCCCGCTGAGAAGCGTCCCGCATTCATCACCTCAGTGTGTCGTCAAGTCTTTCCAAGATACCCATGCAACCTTCGTCTCGTTTTCCTCTCATCTCATCTTCGGCGTCTGTGTTGTGCTATTTGCATTTTGGCGACATCGGCTAGTTTCCATGTGAACACAAGTAGCCCATCTCCACGGAATGAATTCGCAGACGCGGCATCGATTACTCTACATCCGGGAGCCTCAGCTTCTTGAAAGTCTGCACCTCGTAGATCCGTGACATCCGCAGGGCGTGACAGCAAAACGTAAAGTGCGCGCCTTTGATCGCTTTGTAGAGCCTCTGATCACCGTCGCGGAGCTCATTCCGCTCACTCTCACTAAACAACCAAGTAATCCTCTCCGACGTATTAATATCTCGACTACTACTGGACACCGTAGCTAAATGGAGGTGGGCGCCGAGGCACGCATCGTCAGGGATGGGGGGCCCCCAGAAACGCCAGAGCGGCACAATGGACGTACAATGCGGGGTTTGCCTCGGGACCCGAGTACCGGTAGTCGGGGGAGGGCGTGGCCAAGTCTTAGCAATTCCGGGCTTGGTTTCCTTCTTGATAACTGCAGATTGCTGTTCCATTCTGTTAGTGACGTAGAAGTTAATCCCCCAGATATGCCAGTGGGGGTTGGGGTATCGGCAACCGATGCTTGAGCCATTCCGCGTTAAAGCTTGTATGCGACCCTTTCGGAGGGACGTTTGCGTGGCGAGTTCAAACTCATCTCTCACACATCATCTCACTCATATAAAGCTCAAACCCACGTCTGCACTACCCGGTAATATGACCCGTCCGCATTGAATGAACACAACACATACACATTTTGCCAAGTGATCCCTAATCGAGAAAGAAAACCATGGCACCGTCAACCTCAGTTAGCCAAATCCCCCACGCGGACGTCTCTGCCGTCAAACACACAAACGGCAACGGCGTTCTGCCCAGCTCGACCATTGCGCCTGAAAAGAAGCCCGGGCAAGACAAGTCAAAGACCCTGGAGACCAAGGGGTTCCCCCGCCCTCAAAAGTTTGACGACCCGTACCAGCAGCGCCAGCACCTCAAGGAGCGTCTGGCTTTGGGTTTCCGCATCTTTGCAAAGAATGGCTTCGACGCTGGCGTCGCTGGCCACATCACAGTCAGAGTACGTCTGTCTTTCGACTCAAAAACAACCAACATATTTTCGAATCAGCTTCATGAATACAAAACTAACGAAATCACAAGGACCCCGTTGAGCCGCAAACATTCTGGCTAAACCCTTTCGGTGTCCCCTGGCCACTCCTCAAAGCATCAGACCTCATCCGCGTAGATGAGAACGGTGAAGTAGTCGAGGGTGGCCCTGTCAGGCTCTTGAACACCGCCGGTTCGTTCCCTCTAAACAAACTAGCTTTCCAAGTCTCCTCTCGATGAATCTAGCTGACAATAATCACAGCGTACATGATCCACCACGCAGTCCACGAAGCCCGCCCCGAAATAAACTGCGTAGCCCACTCCCACTCCCTCTACGGCCAAGCCTTCTCCGCCCTCGGCCGCAACCTCGACATCACCACCCAAGACACCTGCGCCTTCTACAACGACGTCGTCCTCTACAACTCCTTCGGCGGCATCGTCCTCGGCAAGGAGGAAGGCCTGCGCATCGCCGCCGCCTTGGGCGGAAAAAAGGCCGCCATCCTGCAGAACCACGGCCTCATCACCTGCGGCAAGAGCGTCGAGAGCTGCGTGTACTGGTTCCTCAGCCTCGAGCGGTGCTGTCACCAGCAGCTTTTGGCTGATGCCGCTGCGGGAGGGAGGGGTCACGAGACGGTCAAGATTGATGAGGAGGATGCCGAGTTCACGTACAAGTCGATTGGGTCCGAGGTAGCTGGGTGGTTTTCGGGGAAGCCTACTTTTGATATGATGGAGCATGAGTCTGGTGTGGCTTATAAGATGTGAGAGTGGTGGAGGTGGCAGGGTTAATGACGTATGGAAATGCCAGGCAGAATGAACTGCTTTGAAATCGATGATCACTGACGAAATTTGAGAATTTTGGCGATATGTAAAGTTTGCCTATAGCCATAGGTAGCTACCTAAACAAAAGGGAGCCTATACCACGTTGAATCGTGCCTCTTCAGGACTGGGTGGGGATGTAGCCTGAACGGTCTTTTGTCTAGAGCATCATATAATCCGGCTTTGGTGGCTAGCCTAAGGTAAGGTACATGGGACCGAACTCCTCAGCCTTCGCATCAAAGAGAGATCCACCGGTTCGCACATTCCGACGTGCCTCCCCACGTATTCGTTGTATACTACGTTCGGCTTAAAGAATAACAGGGCGGGAACAAGGGTGTCTAGAATGACTCTGGCCTAATATATGTATTGACTATAGTAATCTGGCTACGCTCTCTAAGTCTAAGACAAATACTAAGGACGCATCAAGCTTCTAGATCTATGTCTGAGTCGTACTCGAAGTCACTGGTCATTCTTTCGAACTGGGATTCGGCCTGGGAATCGGTTCTACTATTTAATGGATCGAAAATGGACAACACGGGGCCCCTTCCCAAAGGGCATTATAACAATTTACGAGCGAACCCTCCCAGATATCCTACTTAGAAAGCCTCAGTCTCTCTCCCAAAGGATTTTCAGGCTATTGGTCAGAATGAGATGGATAGGTGTAGTCTCTCCTTTTTTTAAGGACTATATCAAAGTCCTAGCTCGGAAGGTTAGTCTCATACTTTAGAGATATATAGAACTAGGCGAATCCATTTGGTTTCGCTATACCGACGTTCTAGCGGGTTGTGCTTATATGAAAGGATTGCGACAATGCCGTCTACAGGAGCTGCTAGTTTAGTTATGTTATTTCGAATCGCTCTAACTACTGCGAAAGACGAGATGTCTTCCTGATATATTATTATCAGGGTTTAAAAGAGTATAGAGAGGATATTAGCTTTACGCCTTTACGTATCGTCTAGGAATATAGCTCAAAGTAGTCTTGCCTTCTTTATCAGTTTTCGTTTCGTTCAATCCTATTTATTCACTATACAATAAATAAGCTCAGTATAGGGGAGGATAGGAAAGGAAGACATAGCAGATCATTGCCCTTGGTTGGTACTGTGCAAGACAATCTTGCTGCTCGCCTGTGATTCACTCACATCCAGCAAGGAGACCTAGCGCGCTCTCTTCACAACTCGGAAACACTTCTACAGCTTTATTACCTAGGCTCAAACCCCCAGGCACAAGTTAGCAGTTCTATTCATATAGGGAACCTAGGTGATCAAATGAATCATCCAATGTAGCCGATCTCTATTGACCTCACTCTTCTACTGCAGTTACGAAACACAAGCAAAGGCTTCTTTCTATGTATATGTGTATGTGTACAGGATTATCATCCAGATGCCAAAAGTACACGCAGGCCGGGCTTACAGTCTATAACATGCTGTTCTAATGCATCAACATCCGGCTCTCTGACTAACTTCTCCAACCACACCACATACTCAGATGCGGAAACAACCTCAGCCCCCCTCTTCACTTATTTCCCACCCTCAAGAAGCTCCTCCAAATCCTTCCTCTCACCACTATGGTGAACCATGTCATAAAACACGCCCCTTGCCTTATACAACTCCACCGGTCGGCCCGCCTCAACGACCCGTCCAGCCCCCATGACAACAACCGTATCATAGTCCGCAATCGTCCGCAAGCGGTGGGCAATCGTGACCAACGTGCGGTCGTCGCCGTCGCCATCGCCATTGACCTCCCTCCGCAGCACAGCCTGAATCCCTCTATCCGTCTCATAATCCATACTCGCCGTCGCCTCATCCAGCAACATCAACCTGCTGCCCCGTACCAGCGCGCGGCACAGCGAGAGAACCTGACGCTGACCATGGGAGAAGTTCTCGCCCTTGGCATTCACCACAGTCGACAGCGCCAACTTGGAGGAGTCATCGTCCCGCGCGACCACCGCCGCGTCGTCCGCGTCGGTATCCACGTCCGAAGAAGGCTGGTACTGGAACGAGGCGATCCCCTGACACGACTCGAGCGCCCTCTCGAGCACCGGCTCGGCAATCTTGCCCGTCGGGTCGAGGTTCGTCCTCAGCGTGCCGTTGAAGAGCACGGCCTCCTGCGGGATAATCGTCAACGCCTCGCGGAGGCGGCGGCGCGGGATCTTGGTGATGTCGATGCCGTCGTAGAGAATCTGTCCGGAGACGATGTGCGTGAAGCGCAGGAGGGAGAGGACGAGCGTGGATTTGCCGCTGCCGGTGCGGCCGACGATGGCGACGCGCTCGCCGGCGCGGAATTTGAGGTTGACGTCCGTGAGGATGTTGGGCCCGTCTTGGTCGTAGCGGATGGTGACGTTGCGGAACTCGATTTCGCCCGTCGCGGGCCAGGACTTGGGGATGACGTGGGTTGGGGTGTCGGTGTATTCGACTTGGCCTTCTTCCGGGTAGGATTCGTCGTCCTTTTCTTCGGTGTCGAGGCCGGCGTATTCCTTGATACGTACGAACTGTTCTTCGATGTTAGCCACCAGGACTCCTTACTCGCAAAAACATAGGGGGTGAAGGGATGCGCATGACTTACACTTTGCAGCTCAACCTCGAGATCGTTCATACTCCGGACGAGACCTAGGATAGTCTGACTCAAACCGGTCGCATTGTGCAGCGAGAAACCCACCAGACCGGCACCCACAAGACCGGCCTTGGACACGGCAATGATACCCGCGCTCAAGCCGACCAGGGCCGTGATGACATCGACGCGCATCGCGACCCACCGATTGCAGTTAAAGTGCGCCTCCGCCGCTCGAGACCAAACACGGAGCTTGTCTGCGAGGTTGTCGCCAAAGGTATCCGGCATCCCGGCCCGCGCGCGAATAATCGGCAGACCCGCGAGGGTGTCCGCAAACTGCGAAAAGATGGGCGACTGCGAGCTCGCGACGAGGCGCTTGATGGTGACGGCGGTGCGGGTGTAGATCTCGCCGACAACGAGGCCGCACGTGGACGCGACGGCGGCCGGCACGATGAAAATCGGCATGATGGAGCTGATGGCGAAGATGCGGATGACGAGCGCCAAGGAGCTCTCGAGAAAGGCGCGGAGCTGCGGGCTGACGCTGAGGTCGAGCGAGGACATGTCGCTCGAGAAGCGGTTGATGATGCGGCCGACGGGCGTCTTCTTGTACCAGCTCAGGGAGACGCGCATGACGGCGCGGATGAAGTCGTTGTGCAGCTTGCGGGCGGCGTGCCAGGCGCCGTTCTCGAAGACGAGGAAGACGGCGGCGTAGAGGACCGACTCGGTGACGGTGACGGCGGCGTAGATGCCGAGGTAGAAGGCGATGTCGACGGCCGTCTGCCTGTCGTAGGCGTCTACCCAGACCGAGAGCCAGAGGGTGCCGCCCATGACGGAGAGCTGGGAGAGGAGCATCAGGAACATGCAGAATACGGCGTAGCCTGGGCCGCCAAAGTAGGTCATGTACTTGAAGACTTGATTTCTTACTGTTAGCTTTGAATCTTTGAGGGTTGTTAGGGGGTCACACTTACACATTAAACGGGCGCTTTTCCCGCTGGCCTTCATCTCCTGAGCAACCACATCTTTGGTTCCCTTATCGACGGCGGCCTTTCTGGTGTCGTTGAGCGGATCCGTCTGCGTCTCGACTTCGGTATCCGAGTTGTCGGAGACTTCAGTGCTGCTCTCACCTTCAATATCCTTGGCGACAGCAACCGTGTGCCTGACGACGCCGATATTCTGCTCGACGTGCTTGACGGCACCGTCCTCGAGAGTCACGGCGACGTCGGCCTGAGCCGCAACCCAAGGCTGCTGCGCCACCAAGACCACGGTACGCCCCTTCAACAGATCAGAGCAGAAGCACCGCTCCCAAAGCGAGGCCGCCGTCTTGGCGTCGAGCGCCGAAAAGATGTCGTCGAGGAGCAACAGGGGCGCCTTGGAGTACAGCGCCCTAGCCAGCGCGACGCGCGCCTTCTGGCCACCGGAAAGAGACGCGCCGTTCTCGCCGACGACGGTCTGGTCGCCGGCGTCCAGCTCCCGCAGGTCGACAGGGAGACAACAGGCGTTGACGACGGCGTCGTAGCGCACGGGCTCGAGGGGGCTGTTGAAGAGGATGTTCTCCTTGATAGTGTCGTTTTGCAGCCACGACGTCTGCGACGCGAAAGCGACGTCCTTGGGCCGTGTAATGGTACCGCCCTCCTTGACCGTCTCACCCAGGATCGCGAGCAGCAGCGTCGTCTTACCGCTGCCGCTGACGCCCGAAACAACGTTGAGCCCGCCCTGGGCAAAGTCGATAGAGAGGTCTTTGAGCTGGAAGGAGGCTGTCTTGTTGCGTCGGAAGGTGGCGTCCTGGACGCGGAGGGGGCCCTCGGGGTACTCGTCGAGCGGCGTCGTGGTGGCGAAGTACCTGTCGAGGCGGCTAATGGCGATGGCGGCGCCGGTGATCTGGCGCGACATGAAGGCGACCTGGCCGACGTTGCGGCGGATCTGCTTGACGAGGTACGTCGTCGTGAAGGCCGTGGCGGCCGTCATTGGCTGCCCGCAGACGCCGACGTAGAGGGAGAACATTGTAATCATGGAGATGTAGGGCACAAGGGCGCTGATCTGGTTGAGCATGACGAACGACAGCGACACGCGCCAGAGGTCGCGCTGCTCGTTGGCGCGCGCGTCCTCGATGGTCTCGATGATGGCGTCCTCCCACGCGAAGTACTTGACGGCGCGGATAGAGGCGAGGTACTCGGAGACGAGCGAGATGCGGGAGTCCTGCGCGCGCCGAGCTTTGCGCGTCAGCCGGCCCATGAGCCGCGAGATGGTGACGGACACGGGCGCGGCGAGGAGGAGGATCAGCGTGCCCACGAGGGCAGGCCATCCGAGCATCCTGTACAGACCGATGACGGAGAGAATGGTGCCCACGGGCACACCTGTCCCGGCCATGACGACGTCGCGCGCGCCAAAAATGGCCTGCACGTCAGCCGCCATGAGGTTCGCCAGGCGCCCGGCCGACGTCGTGGACCGACCGGCCTCCTCATCCTTCTTGTTCTTCTTCTTATCCTTGTCCTTGTTGCTCTTGTCCCCAGCGCCGTCGGGCTTGGGCGCGAAAATGTCCTCCTCGAGCTCCATGGACCCCATGGCGCGGTGGTACAGCTCCTGCGTCAAGGCGGATCGCAGACGGACGACTAGACGGGTCGAAGTGAAGACGTACTGCTGGAACAGGACGGAGCGCGACAGCGGGCCGCAAAACATGAGCACGAGCCAGAGCCAGGGCTTGACGGACGCGCCATGGGGTTCCGCGAGGTAGCCCAGGAGGTGGTACAGGCCATAGGGGGCGACGAGCTCCGAGGCGTAGGCCGAGGAGATGTAAAAGGCCATGAGGTTGACCTCCTTGCGCAGCAGGTAAAAGAGCGTCCACGTCGTCGTGACGCCCCTGGCCCTCGCCTTCTTGATCCGCGCGAGAAGCAGCAGCGGCTCGTCGTACCAGGGCAGCTGGGGAAGGTCCTCGAGGACGACCTCGCCGGTGCGGGCGCCCTTCCACATGACGGGCGTGAGCCACTCGAACGTGAGGTAGTAGTTTGCCCAGCTGCACGTCTCCTCGGGCGCGGGCCCGCGCTTCTCGTAGTCCTCGGGCATGAGCACGTCGTTTGCGAGGGAGGGGGGCACCCATTCCCTGGGTGTGATGACGGAGAGGACCACGGCGGCGGCCAAGCTTGCGAGGCTACCCTTCACCGGCACCGCCACGAGGGCGCACTCAGACGAGACTTCGATGCAGGGCAGGGCGGAGGATGCAGCGAAGATGAGGAGCTCGAGGCCGAGGGCAAAGTTGACCTGGTGCAGGGCGACGTGCCGCCACTCGAGGTCGTTGACGAGCCTCGATAGGCCGAGGACGAGGGCGTAGGCGGCGACGACGGCGTTGAGCCAGGGTGTCTGGCCGCGGGTGGCCGCGAGGGCGAGGAAGGCTAGGGTAGAGGCGCGCAAGAGCTGAGCGAGGAGTTCCCATGGCCACCTGATGCTGGCGGCGCGGGCATTGGTTGTTGTGGTGGGTTGAGATGATGATGAGGGCTTGTTGCGGCGCTGGATGAGGCGTGAGGCAGTCCAGAGCACAGAGATGACGAGGACGAGGGCTTGAAGGTATCCCGAGTCGGCGATCTGGGTCACGTCGTTGATCCAGGGCAGTTCTGCATGGCTATTCGGGGTTTGTCAGTCATGTTCCCTTTCAACGTCTCCTCAGATACGTAGGAGCAACGGATGAAATTGGGAATGTCGACCACACGCTCTCACAGGCCCTCACCGAAGAGATGTGCAGAAAGCATTTGATGCCATAGATTCAGCAGGCTTTTGAATCGATGGATCCCGGAACTAAGTTCAGTCCCATAAGACTATCTGGTAGCAGTCTTTACATCCCATATCTAAACTCGGAATGCTTCCCCTCCCATAGCCATGTAGCGGTCAAGCATTCTGTATGCAACTCACCTCTGAGCAGTCGCCAGCAAGGTCTGGGACCGCAATCGCGCCTCAGCCGCGAGCGCAAAGACTCGCTGAGGTATGAGATCCATCATCGTCGGGGGCAGCGCAGCGAGAGCGATGTCCTCAACGCCGTAGTCTCACCTCTATTGGCGCTTCTCTCGATGTAGTATTCTTGACAACTACTGCGAGCACCACAGAGTGTCATGAGTGAGTCTGATGAAATGTCGTTGAAGTGAAGGATTGCAATTCGCTCGAGGTTCAGTCCCCCTCCTGAGAAGTAAGCCAGTATGCAGCCAAGAGTCCAAAAAAGACTACAGCAAAGAGCGAAGGTGCAGAGAAATATATCAACACATGTCAAGAAGGTATTCAAAGTAAGAAAGACGAAAGAGAATCCCGAGACGTTGTATTCGTAAGAAAGGTCGATTAGATACGGCGAGACAGGGGGGTCCCTAGTCTCCTAGGCTGTGCACCAGGTCTCGAGCAAATGGGAAACGGTCAATTGAAGGCCTTCTGCTGGGGGGTACCCCAGCTAGGCAGCCAGGACCTAGTTGGGATGCGTTCATCCTCATTGCTCAAATGCTCGTTTCGTCCATCCCTCTGGGGGTGTGTGGTTTGTGACGGGGAGGGGCCAATTGCTGAGAATGCGGGAATGATGACTGGACTGTAGGACTGGCAAGAATGCTAGCAGCTAATAAGATGGGGGGGGGGGGGCAGGGTCACCGGTTGCGAAAGCGGCATCCAGAGTGTTGCAATCCAACCCGACATGGGTCTTCTGCATGCCGCCCTTGGATTGACATACTTACCAGGTAAGGTACCGAATCCAAGGCCTAGCCCAACTGATCGTTATAATCAGCTCGATACACTTCAAAAGGTTCTCTCTCCAGTGCATTGCCTTTTCACAAGACTGCATTTTTGTAAGATGTACAAGCATCAAGTTCCCAGCAATAGAGCTATCGGGACAACTTTGCCGGTCTCGGGACCGCAAAGTGGGGCACCAAATTTGACCTTTCCAAACGTCGGGAGCGGATGCGGAATGGGGTTGCCGGCCGAAGCAAGCAGCCCCAGCAAGCCCATCCTACCTGTTGACGCCACTCCCGTCAGTGAAGTGGAATTTAAACCAAAGTCCCAAACATCAACGTACCAAAGTTCCTTATTAGATACGATTAGATACGAAGACCAAATTACCTAGGTATCCTAGAGTGGCCTTCCCTGATAAGAGCGCTTACTGACTCCAAATTCCTCAAAGACAATTTCCGTTCAAGACGTATTCCAAGTGTCACGACCATGCGGTCCCAAGGGTAATAATATGGGCGGGCACCCCCCCCCCCCCATTGCATCCCGTCCATCTAGTTCCCGTCCCTTGTAAAAAGCTTGGCATTTTAAAGGAACGAAGCTTTCTCGACTTCACACGGGAGAAACCATGGCCAGACTATCCCACTTGCTGGAAACGAATCGTCTTGGGGCATTGTGATTCATCAGAAATCTTTATAACCGTCACTGACTGCATCTCATGAAGTCTGTCTTCGCTCTACTTAATATCTTAATATGGCCTTTTTATCAATTCATCTCGCAAAGTACCTAGCAACGTAATTCATCATCCTGCAATACGCAATCATCAAAATGCAGCCACGGACATGTAATCACCTCCTCTCCATAGATCCCAACATCAAAACGCAGCAACACAGCGGCCGCCGCTTCAAATAACCACCCCTACACCATCTATTTATCCTACCCCCCAGCCTGTCAGCCTGCCTGACACCATCGGCATCTCGTCGCTCAAAATGGCAGGTTCAGTTCCCCTCACCACGTCCCATTGGATCATGACCGGCACCTTCGAGAGAGCCCATCGGCCTTTAGGGAGCCTGGAAAAGGCAATCATGTCATACACATCTTCTCTTGTCTACCCTCCATTTCCCTCCAGCCGTTTTAGCCGTGAATGTGTAGAATGTGCCACCTATCATGTAGAACGAGACCCAGGCAGCAACCACGTGCGAACTCGTCATTTTTTTTCTTCGAGATTTCATTCCTTGTTCATGAGAGCTGGATACTTTGGGCACATGAGTTATCATGGCGAGCTTTCCCAAGACTTGAGTCAACAATAAATCCATCTCTCACTCTACGAGACCATTTTCACAGGTTTGACAAACGACACATTGGCATATCAAGAGACGTATTAAATATACGTTTGATAATCTCTATCCCAAAACTAATCAAGTTCCTTCAAACACAATACACACTTTAGCCTCCTGGCCGTGGTAATCTGTCTTCGTGATATGTACTTTATGGGCGTTGAAACGTCTTCAAACGGCCCCTCTCTCCCTTCTCACGCTCCATGGTTCCCAGGCAAGGGAGAGAAAGAGATAGGTAGAGAGACCGATAAGTAGACGAGCACACTTCAACCACCCAGTATAAAAACGCCCCCAAAGCCAAAGCCTCAACGCACCCCCCATTGGGCTTCTTTGTTTCCCCCTCCCCAAAAACTTGTTTTGACGCCGTCAGGCAATGCAATTAATGAGCGCCTTCCCCACCATCTTGGTCTTTCCTTTCCTTTCATTTCCTCCTTCCATTCTTTCTCTCGTTCGTGTGTCGAGAGTCAAAACATTAAGGGAACCTCGCTGTCCAAAATAAAACATTAAATGAAGATGACGAACCCTCACGGGTTTAATCTGCCTTGATTGCTCTGTCCACACAGCGTCAGCTTCGTTCCAACGCAGTATAAAAAGAAGGAAGACGAAAAGCTTACCCATAAATCCTCCGAATAAACGCGTACGCGCTCAGGAATCCGACCGTCCCCGTGAGGAGACCATACACGCAGCACGCCATGAAACTATAGCTGAAGAACAGCATACTGCTCACGAACCCGGTAATGTGCAGCTTGAAAAAGTAGTACCACACGCAGTACAAGAAAACCCACACGGCGCTCCCGCCGCCGACGGCAAACGACTGCCACCACCAGTTGTAGTTCTCGGCGCACAGCCGGACGTAAATCGTCACGACCGTCACCTCGGCAATCGTCACAATCAAAATCACCGACACCACGGCCAGGAATCCAAACACGTAGTAGTAGCCGCTCTTATCCTGCCAAACGGACTGAAAAACGAAGAGCAGCTCGATGAAGATTACCGCAAACGGGATCAGCCCCGCGAGCAGGACAGACTGCCAGGACTTGATGTACCACGCCTGCCGGGGCACCTGGCGCGGCGCGACGCTCGTCTTGGTCGGGTGCTCCCATTTGGCGCTGCGGACAAAGCCGAACCAGGAGCCGGCGTAGACGAGGGGCACCTGGATGCAGAGCCAGAGGAAGATGATGGCGACGAGAGTGCCAAAGGGGATTGCCGTGCTTGAAGCCTGTGCCCAGACAAATAGGTTCAGGATAAAGACGATGCCAAAGAGAAGGCCGGGGAAGAGGACGGCGGTGACGAGCGCGTTCTTGCGGAAGTCCTGGCCGTCGAACGTCTTGTAGACGCGCGCAGAGAAGTAGCCCGAGAAGAGGCCGGCAAAGACGAAGAGACCGACGCCGACGCTGATGAAGCCGCCGCGGAAGCTTGGGTTGAGGACGCCGAGGGCGCTTAACAGAACGAGACCGACGGCCATGAAGAGCAGCTGCATGCCGGATCCGACGAGCGGGGCCAACAGGTAGCCGTGCCGGGGCGTCCGGAAGACGTCGGCGTGCAGCAGCTTCCAGCCAGTGACATCCTCGAGGGCCTCTTCGTCGGACGACACGTCGGCGTCGTTTTCGGCGTCAATTCCGGCTCCCTGGTCGAGTAGTCCGCCGGTTTTCTCGGAAAGCCTGGGGGATTTATTGCCGGTCGTCTTCTTGCGCTTCAGCTTTGGCTTGCCGTCCTCGAGGGGCACCTCCTTGTAGCCCTTGATGTCGGAGCGGATCGTTCTCGCGAGAATCATCAGGACGATGCCCGTGAGCAAGCCGCAGATAATGAGCGAGTTGACAATAGCTAGCCAGTGGATTTTTTGGCCCTCCTCCTGGTTGACAAAATACAGATCCCAGCGGCGCGACCACTCGATGTTGTTGTCCTCGCGGAAGTAGACGGAATAGGTGTAGGGCACGGTCAGCTTGGCGCCGTCGTCAGCGAGGTCTTCATCGTCGTCGGTAGCGGGGTGGTATGAGGAGGACTCGAGGTTCTGCTGCTGCTTCGGCGTCTCGGAGGACTTGTTCGGGGCGAGGTAGAGCTCAAAATTCTGGTCAATATTCTGCAAATCCGCGGGGCACCCGTTTTCGTCGCGCTTGTTATTGGGCCCGATGCTCTTGGGGTACACCTCGAAGCCAACAACGACTTTACCGCCGCGCTCGCCCGCCTTCCCAGGGGCCCTGCGCCAGCGAATGACAATGGTATGGTGGTTGTTGAGGAAGTAGCGCGGCTTGCCGCTATTGGCCGAGTAATCCGTGAAGCCGAGCTTGAAGCCGGCGGCGTAGTACTTGCGGCTCTTGTCGACGGTGACGAAGCTCGTGGCGCCGGGGAGGTTATCGACGATCCACTCGGTAACATAGCCGTCGTGCACCATGTCCTTTGCGCGGCGCATGTCCTTGCGGCTCATCTCGCGGTTGCACAGCAAGTTGCACGGCTTGTCCTGTCCGACGACCAGGTCAATGTCGGATGTCTTGATCCTGTCGCCGCGGAGGACCTCGCCGAGGTTCAAGGGGATACTCTGTCCGCTAAGCAGTCCCGTGCCGGGTTTGCGCTGGCCCGTCGGCGGGCACACGAAGGGGAGGTCGTAGTAGGCATACTGCAGCTGGGTGTTGTCGGAGTAGACCTTGTTCACGAGTAAGGGTACCTGCTCGCCATCCTTATAGCTCTTGATCGACCAGCCTATAGTTTATTCCGAGGTATAGTCAGCGGACAATTGCTCGAGCGAGAGAGAGGTGTTTGAGATCATGAGCTGGGAGTTCTTTCTGAGGGCGGCGAACCTGGAATGTAGAATGCGTCGGCTGGTGCGGCGAGCAACAGGGAGACGAGGCACCCCAAGCCGGCCTTGAGCACCTGTCGCATTGTAATTAGGTTCGGTATTTGCGAGTTCGTCGTCGTTGTCGAATTATATCCGCAAAGACCGTCTCGGCGAAGTTTGTGTAAGTGGTAAAAGAGGTGACCTGATAAGATGGGCGACCTGTCCTCTGTGGTTGTAGTTGTGGTTCAATCGGGGTACCTTTCCGGCTTGGAGGGAATTGAAGGACAATTGAAGATAAAATTAGCCAAGTCAGGAACGCAATCAAGGTAAGACGAGTCCGGTCGCGTTCAGGTTCAGTCGAGGGTCCGTGGCTGCACGGTGTCTCTTTCCGCGCCACGCCGCCGCCGCAAATGGGTGGGAGGGCGGAATCCAAAAAATTGGATCGGACTGGGCTGCGCAGAAGTGCCGTCCCCCAAAGGATCGCAAGAGGAGGAATCTCGGGGTGGTAAAAGGTGAGGTGAGGTGAGGTAAGCTGAGGTGGAAACGAGTGGAATCGGTACCAAGTACCCAGGAAAGAAGTCTAAAGGTAAATTGTCAAGTATCAAGCTTCGAAATCTAGAACTCTCCCGTCTTGTCGGGAATTGACGCAAGCGAGCCCGCTGTCGGCCGTTGACGTTTTTGTTTCGAAACGGGGTCCAACCTTGAAAGAGATGGTGAGGATGAGAGGGCGAGTTGAGGTGTTGTTGTTAGAAGTAGGCAGGTTAAGTGGCGGTAGACGATAGACGCAGCACGGGGGGAAGAGGGACAAGAGGGATACAAAGACACACACTCCAGATGGAAGGGGGGAGGGGAAGAGAGGGGATGAAGAGGCAATTGGAAGAAACCGAGGACGTTGACGGGATGCAGCTGGCGGGACGGAATCGGCGGGAAATAAGACCAGTTCACAAGGGGGGAGGAGATGGAGAGAGAGCATGGGAATGGGAATGGAAATGGGAGATTCACTGGGATTGCATGGCATGAGCACATGGGCTGCGAGCGTGGGGATGGATGGTCGGGATGGGGGGATCGATGATGTGCGCACGGTTCAAGACCACTTTACGAGCCCACTGAGAGGTGAAGGAAGCATCGATCAGAGAGAGGCCCGGAATAATTCATAAATTGCTTTTAATCATTCAACCTCAATCTGAGATGCCGTCTTCCAGCGTAGCATCGCGGCCGTCGAGTGCCACCCATCCCTCACTGGAGTCCCCATCCGGCATCTGGGGGGAGAACCTCTCTTCCCCTCTCTTCTCTTCCACAGATGATACTTGCCTTGCCTTACATTGCATATTTGTAGCTGTGTACTTCTAGTGTAAAGTAAGGTAAGGTAGGCACGCTTCCCTACGCGCTTCGGTTCCTATCTCGCGCCTGCCAAGACCAACACGTCTCTCAATGGGAAGCGCAAGACATGAGCGGGAAGGCTTATCGCGATTCACCAATACTCATCCGTATGCGTACCTTGAAATTCTTGACAAGACTCTTTGCCCAATCCCGTGAACGCAAGCGGTAGTACAGACATTTCTGCAGGTAGATATGTAGGTTGCTCGCGGTTCACCCCCAAGACCCTCCAAAAACCAGGCGGGAAGTACGCCCCAACCCCTATATCTGCCGCCGCCCGCTGTCCCGCCGCACCAATCAACATCTGCTGTTGGGGAAGCTAAATCCAACCGACACGAGGGGTTCACTTTTTGGGGCAGGTTGCAGCCAAGATGAAAGGGGTGTCGGCGTCGTCACGTGTAGTTCCATTGTGATTTGTGCATTGCTTGTATTTTACAGAATGGGATATCTAAATAAGTAAGGAAAAAAATATTCACATTTAAGGAGATGGAGGAATGGTTATTATTTGTGCACAGCTTACCTCAGAACTTGCGCCTCAGCCTCATCCTCAGCTTCGCAAGCCCTTGGACTCGCGAGTCACCGCACTAGAAACGATGCCATGTGGAAACAGACGATCGATCTTATTTAGTGTGGGCAGTTTACGCGGCTCCCGCTCCCCTTAGTCAAGGTACTAACAATAGAAACACAAGAACAAACCACATCTGTCTCGTAGACGATCGCTCCCTTTCTCTCGAACAAACGCCTTCGGGAGAGTGGGCTGTTCAACAATGACAGGCCGGGTGTTGAAACCACCCAGATATCGTCATCTTTCTCCATTCCCAATGTCACGGGGTTACAGCATGCAGTGATGCAGCTTACCAGTCAGTTTGCCAGCTTGTGCCGGATAATCTACCCCCACATTTCCTCCCCAAATGCCCCCATTTGCCCAGTGACCTTCCAGTCCGAGCTTCTTGGGAAAATCATGCTGAGCGTCTGGGGCAAAAAAGCAGGGAAAAAGCGGGATAGCAGCAAAAACTCCACCGCAATCTTAGCACTGGAAGCAACAGGGGGGGATGGAAACGATTCAATGGGCCTAGAACGTTCAGAGTGTCCGGCGCGGCACGGCGGCTCCTTTCTGCCGTCTTTGTCTCCGCCCCTGCCCGTCTTCCGGCCCTGGCTTTTTCGCTGCCGGACCCCCTTCACCCCCGCCCCATCATTCCGTCCCGTCTCCGGGGTGCCACACTGCCCCGGGGTCGTCTTCTCTTGGCACTTCGGCTTGGAGATGAGTTAGGCTTCTGATTGCGAGTCGTACGGCCCATGTCAGAGCAGGACATTGTTCGGGTCCAAAGAAAACCAGCTGAGATCGGACCAAACCTCCCAACCCATTTTCTCCGTCCAGGGGTGATTCTCACCCTCTTATACGCGCCAAGACAATCTTACTCTTCTCAAAAATCAGTATCAAGAAAAGTAAGTAGGCAGACCACACCCAGTTGAAGAACCAGTTGACTGAGGTGGTCGACGTTATGCACAGTAGCCCAGATTTGAGTGACATTGCCATATTATTACTAAGTATTGATGTGTTCATCCAATTTGCCTCTTGCTCTTTGGGTATCTTCAATTCCAACAGACAATGTTTCCAAGTAACAACAGAAAACTCTCAATCGAAGCGTCCCAAATTTTAATGTCCAAGACTCCGCTAGCCCACCAGCTCAATTTTCTACTGGTATCATCACCCTCGAAACAAAGGAACAAAGGAAATTGCTGTAAAGGGGTATCGTGCGCAAAACCCCCCATAAGTCGTAATTCGTCAATGCAAGGAAACAAAAGCTCAAGCTGCAAGAACATCAAGCAGCAGAGACCTCGCCTCGCCTTGCAGACAAGTCGCCATAGCTAGGCAGCACGGAAGTGCCCTGGAATTCGGGTGCGGGCTGTTGCAACAATCTCGGCCGGAGGAAAGCGTCCGCGTCCGCTTCCTCTTGCTGCGCCATCACAGCTTCGAAGGTGGGAAGGCCCATGTCAAGTGAATCGAGCTGCATGGGCGGCTCGAGAGCGACTTGCAGAGGGATGTTCAAGTTGATCTTGGAATCGCCAACGACAATGGTCAACTGCAGCGTGTAGGTGCGGGAGATGAGGCAGGCGTGAAAAGTCGGAATAAAGGTCTTTCGGGCTGTGGGCAGCTTGAAAGGAATCTGGAGAGCGGCCTTGTGGAAGATGGGAGAGGAGCGGTGCTTGCTCGAGCGGCGGCTGTTGCTCTGACGCTGGCTGTCCGAGTCGGAGGGACTGCCTTCACGCATGCCATCGCTGGAGTATCCGGAATCGCGGCGGGCGGTGGAGGCCAGCTGCTGGCGCCAAGCAACCTTGTCGACTGATGTCGAGAAGAGGGAAACGGAGGTTTGATATGCGAGCTGCTGGGTCATGGCATATGCCTCTTGGCTGTTTCCCATGTTGGGGAGTGATGACATGGGCGTTGCGCCATACCAGGTCTGAGCTTGGATCTTGGCCGAGACGGTGCTGACCTTGGGAGGCAGGATATCGGCGGAGGTAGGCTCAAAGTTGAGGTTGACCAAGACTGAGCCCTCGGAGGCTCCGCGGCCATCGGCAGTCAGGTAGGCGGCACCAGGCTGAGCGGTTGCAGCTGTGACAGTGCCCTGCTTGGAGGAGAAAATGTTCTTGCGAATGGTCTTGGTCTTGCTGAGGGCGTAGTTCTTGTCCTGCTTGGTGATGTTCAGAGGCGGGTCCTCGGGGGATCGAGGGAGGACTTTGATGTGGTGGGTGTCCTCCATGACCTTGATCGGCTTTCCACCGAGCTCGTCCTGTCGCACAACGCGGGCCTTGATGACATACTGGACCTGGGCCATGTCGGGGGCCATGTCGTCCCTCTCCCAGCCGCCCATGGTCGGGGGCAGACGCATGTGGTAGTCTTGGATGTAGTCGTACTGAGCCTTGTGAGTGCAAGCACTCATTGTCAGTTGGTGGGGGATGACGAAGTTGAAGGGAATGGTGTAAGCCCTGCCGGCCTCGAAAATCCGGGGTACGGGGTAGGCGGAAGTGGGAATGGGCATCTCGAGCTTCAAAAAGGTGTGGGAAGAGAGCTGAGGAATCTGAACGGCGTCGAGGCGAGTCCTCGAGATGCCGATGAGGATGATCTGAACGAAATCGAATCGGCTGTCATGGCTGGGCGTGATTGTGACCTCTCCAGAAATGGGGCTGCCCGAGGTGTAGACCTTGGAGCTGTAGTGGTCGTTGATCTTGACCTCGATGCTCTGCTTCCTGGTGGAAGCAGGCTGTCGGGCAAAGGAGATGACGGAGCTCATGTCACTGTGGCTCGACATTTTGGCTGATTGATGGGTAGATGGAGCTGGTTGGGTGTGACGATGACGATGGTGGGAATGTCCCCGAGGTGGGGTGCGTAGCTTATATGTATGTAGACGAAGGCTTGAGTGAAGATCCCCCAGGTATTAGATGGGAACCAGATGGAGTCTTGTAAGTGACGATATGGTAATGAAACCAAGTTGAAAGCCTGTGAGTGGTACGGAGAAATATAGACATTTCCATGACAAAAGGGTGGGCGAGGCGTGTCTCTTTAAGGTCGGGTCAACGTCAAGGATGGGAAGGGAGTAGATGGATGGGCAGGAGTGCAATGCAGCGTGTTTGTTTGACTCGACTCCCGTCGACTTGAGCAGATCCATGGCAGCAAACGCCAGGGCCGGAAACAACCTGGAAACCCTCCACCGTCGACGTCTTCCTCGCACTTGCAAAGGGCGGGCTCCTCATCCTCAGCCTGCGTGATGGAGGGAGGTGGGAAACGTACCGGTACCTGGCCAAGGTACATGAGGTACTCGGATGAGGTACCGACATTTTGAGAGTGGGTGGGTGGTGGGTGGCAGGCAGGTGCCCAGGCGGGAGACTCACGGTTGCACGGGCAGTGGCCGAGACGGGAACTTGAACTCCAGCCTGCTGTTGACCGGTTGTTCAGTGTGTTTAGCGTGCAAAGGAAGGTGGAAAGTGGAGAAGAAGACAGCAGAAAGACAAAATCTGAAGGATAGGATCCACTAGAATGGTGGATGCCATGGCGGATGACTGGCGCTCCCAAAGGCGAGCTTGGGTGCTTGGTCTTGACAAGTGACGCCCTTCCTGTCGAGCTTACCTTATACAATTATACGCTAGAGACGTCCCCAGTACTGTAGGGCATCCTCCAACTTCCATTCCCTCTGTAAGGTAGGTAGGTAGACTGTGTAACTGTACGGAGTAGCCCACCGGTTGTTGGTCGCAACTAGGTGGAGACTCCGAGACTCCGACCCTCAAAACGTCGCCAGCGTGCAAGAGAACGGCGTGAAAGGCGTGAATGGCAGCTATGACTCCGTCTGCTGCTCCGCAACTTCTCTGGGCCATCCAGGTTTCTCGTCACAGGTTTCCCATTATAACTTAGGTACCTTAGTATTGGATACCTGTTCAAGGTATGTTAGCTACCTTTCCAAGGTAAGCTCATTGAAGATGTCTCTGCATCAAAGTCCATTGTTGCACAGAGAGGGATTCAGCTGCAACAGACCCTGATTTCCAATGCTCCAAATGATGCCATGTAGACCATGCAAGACGAGACGCATCCAACCCCAGGCTCACAAGTAAAGGTACATTACACAGCAATGCCTCTGTTGTCTCTCCCTGCCGTTTCAAAATTAAAGGCTGCTTAGAATTCTTTGAGATTGGTAATCTAAGGTTGGGAATCTCAGATTCAACTTTACTAGCGTGTCGCACTTGCTCGCCAAAAGAGTCATCATGTCAACTTGGACGTCGTGGAAAGGCGCGAGACCCGCTTTAAAATGACAAGAACCGAGCAAGACCCTTTGACTGGACCTTCCTTCACCATATCACGGCGCCGATGATCGGCAGGTGCTCCTTGCAATGCACCTCCCTCACTGACCATACCTTACTTTGGCAAGAACGAGACAGCAATTCCCGGCTGGTGCTAACCTCCCGATGCTTGGTGAGGCGGTAAGGCATGGAAAGCACCTCAATAGTGTCTGAATCAAGGGAAACTTTCATCTTCCCGGCCGATGCTTCTGACATGCACCTCCACCCACTCGGATTCCCGGCCATCGCCAACGGAACCCGGCTCAAGCCTCTGGTACAGTCAGTCTGCTGACATGACGGACCAATTTGGACCCTGATGACTGTGACGCCAGCGCCAGCCAACTAGTGAAAGCTCAAGTCTCTCGCCGATCCCATACTCGAATTGAAAATTGGCAACGTCTGCGCAAAACCAGTGTAAACATCACGCAGCCCGCCTAGGCACTGGCTGCAACCTTGGCCGAGAACCTGTCGTGCTTCCGGTACTCTCATGCATTCTCAGACCACTGACATGGCTCGATACGCCCTACTGCCGTCACGCTGTCGTCCGACACCAAGAGATAGTCAGCCGAATCTCCCAGCGCCCTACCGGATGACATTGACGCAAAAGACAAAGACCGCACTAACACCTGCTCACAACAATGTTTACTTGCAATGTCGCAGACCACTGCTCTCGGAGCTCCAACGGAGCCGTGCCAGCCTCCAGCCGTTGCCATCTCCAGACTGGGGAATGGGGAATCAGAATAGAGCTAAGAGAGCCGCCCCCGCGACACCACGCAAGAAGCAACTCAAACCGAGGGTGATGCGGGCACGCGGGGAGCAATCATGGGATTCAAGATCCGCGACCCCAGCAATCTGCCAACGGCTGCAGCGAGCCAACGTCCAAACTGTTACACTGTTATCTGCCTCCCTGCGGCCTGCCACTTCCTCCAACACCACGCTGTGATAAGACGCACGAGACAGCAGGAGAACCACGGCCGGGCAGCCAGTGGCATACTTTCCAGCCTGCTGCCGAGGAGAAGTTTTGTTAGGTTCATTGTTCTTCAGTGATCGACCCCAATCGCGTCGCCAGTCCGACACCGCTGTCCCAATCAGCAGCTTGAACTCGCTCTACCACCCTCCACGACCACTGCAGGCAAGGGTGGGAGATTTCCTTTCCAAGCATTTCACTTCGTCATGGCTGCGATACGCAGTCATACGCACCAGGCGTATTTTCAAGCATGGGAGCAGGTGTGTCGTTGGTTGAAAAATTCCAAGCCCGTCGAATAGACAAGGGCGGCCTGGGTAAACTGACAAAGGGTACAAGCACACGACAAGTACAGCAAGTATCGCAAGTACCTCTACCTCGATTCAATCGTTTTCACCCTCAAACACACGCGAGGTGGATATCGCAATCCAATGGACAAACGACGTGGATGAGAAGAAAAAACTAATTCTGTTGCAAAGTTCGCAGAAACACACGACAACCGGCTGGGCTTTACGTACACGGAATCGATGTCTAATGAGATCCATCCAGGGGCGCGGCGCTTTGCCTTTAGGTGCCTGGCGGCTGTTGCTGGCATTACACGAGATCCATGCCATCGGGTCCCCTTGACGTACACGGTCGAAAGTGGACTCCCGCGGCGGAGGCACATCGGCCACCCGGTTCGGCCTCCCGTTAGCGGTCGATGCGCTCTGTCAAGCCGGTGGATCCCCCGGTGGTCTGGGGCCTTGCAGGTTGCCCTGATCCATCCCAAGGGTGCGCTTATGGGGGCGTGCCTCGCGAGTTCTTAACGTTAGGGGACGCCGAAAGTAATGAGATCCATCAGAGCTACGACCATGACCATCGTGAAGTGAAAATTTTACACTCGATCCCACGCTTTCAAAATTCCAAAGGTCTCGAATGGCCACTCGTAGCCTCGCCAAGGTAGTGGCCGCATGGACCATTGGATGGCACACACACCATGGAACATGCAAAAGAACAAACAGAGAGAAGCCATTACTGTCACATCACGAATCGTCAACCAATTCGGGAACTGGAGGAGAGAACCCGGAGAGTACAGCTGACCACGTTGCAGCCTAACCAGGAGCGCAATTGGATGTCAAGCAATAACAGCCACACGACGATGGTGAGCTTATGACTGATGAGATCCATCCGGGCGATGACGCTAGAATGCATGGAACGCTTGAATGGAAGGCTGGAACGAGCCAAGTACGTCAGGCCAAGGCACGGGAGCAAGCGGATCTTGAAAAGTTGAGACAAGACAGCTTGAGGCTCCATCGCGGAACAGAATGGGGCTCTTCGGGTTACAGTCTACGGCGCATCACTGCCTGCAATGCTGCATGGCCATGCTGTGCGGCTCCTTTGTGAGCAGCAGCTAGAGCCGCCGTGAGGTTCTGATCGACTGATCCTAACCAGGGGTGCATACGGGAAGCAGGCCAATGTTGAACGGGCATGCTTGAGAACAATAGGAGACAACTGTGGGTTCGTTTGATGTGGATTGTGGGTGTTAGTGACGATGGTGCAATACCACGAATATCCCAAGCACAATATCCACTTTGAGCCGACGACAAACGAGCGGTGGATGGCCGCGGTCTACGATGGCACATGGGTATTTGCGATGTCGACGGTCGGATAGTGTGGTTGAAGTTTTTTTTTTTGAGAAAATTTTTACGAGCAATTTTTTGCCTCTTTTGCGCAGAGTGGAGTGCCATAAGCGCCATCTGTCCAAGGGAAAAGGACCCACGATGCGCCTTTGGATGGACAGCACTGGAGACATGCTGGAGACATCCCACGCTCCGGAACGAGAGTCCGGAAGTATTACCTAACACTCCCGTTAACCGCCCTTCCGCACATGGCCTCATCGCCAAACGTCTATGGCCAGACCCTAGCGGGCCTACGATGATGGGATTCCGCCTCCAATCGGGACGGGGAGATCCTTTGGACGACGGATGGGACAGCCTTTTCCGATTAAAGGTCATTCCCAGACCATGAAAAGGCGTCATGCACACATGGCCATGCACCCACCAGTAGGTGTACCTAGAAACTTTGGAGGCCAAGCCCAAGACTCTTATTGACTCACGCGCCCATTGCGCCCTACGTACCGCTGATGTGCACCGCGCCCTGCAGAGCGCCTCATGTCAATGTCGCTATTGCACTAGTAGGGCTGGTGGGCAGGCCATAGACAACCACGCATATTACTTGGGCATCTCCCGGTTCATTGGCAACCAACCCAGACGACGAGAGCTGACCAAGCTCCCTGATGAATAATTGCCGTCTTTGGTCACCGGAAACCATGTTCCTCGAGGCTGAGGTGAACCAAAACATCATCTCTAGGACTGTATTGCGTCAACCCTCCTGACATTTGCTCATCAAGCTCATTGAAGCTCATTGCGTGCTCTACAGCCGCAAACCTTCAGACCGCCCAGGAATTGCATCATACACGCCTCCACTGATTCCTCTTGACCTGGGCTAGCGAGATAGTACAGCAGTCAGACCCAACTTCAGCCAACGCCAAGTGCGATACGTGCAAAATCACAAGCCTACTTGCAATACGCATGGCTCATTGAAACACTGGTAGTTCTTACCCCGGTCTCGACAAGCTTATTCCTTCGTGGGGAACAGCATATGTGTATTATTCAGCTTCTCCATCTTCTTCAGTGGTCGAAGACAACATGTTCCTCTACATTGTCTACTTCTCTTTACCCCAACTTTTGACTCCCGTCGACGACGCCACATGCTTTCTCTTGCGCCCGCACTCATACCAAAGCCGGTCAGACGGTCAGGACTAGACGATCCGTCAACCGAGTTGTTGGGAATGGTGTTTAGGACGGTCTCTTGCTATGAAGGCGCCGTTTTGGGTTGCAGTAGGTCATTCCCCCTTTGTCCAGCTTACTCTCTACCTCATATCCGTATTGCCGCCTTGAAAATGTCAGCAGCTTTTCAGAGGTAAGGTTAACCAAGTTATGGCGATGGCTGGTTTCACATCACTTTCGGCTGGGGTAATCCCACTCATCTAGTAGTAACAGACGGTCCTGCACTGTCTATTGTCTCTATATATTCTACATGGCTCTTGGCTTTTCAGCAATTGGGGCTCGTCTAATATGAGCATGTTTACATGTGCACGGGGAAAAACTCAAGCACCATTTAAAGGGTACATGGTCTAGTCATGCCACGAGATGTACAGCATGATACCGGCACCGACAGCAATGGCGGCAAACTGAACGAGGGTCTTGCGCAGCTCGGCCATCTTGTTCGGGCCCGTCTCGAGCAGCTCGGGGATAACGGCGACGGTACCCACATAGAGGAACGTACCCGCGGTGAAGGGCAGAAGCAAATCGCCCCAGGTCTATCAGGTCATGGTCAGCAACTTGTGATTCGTCACGCCAAACTTGCGTTGGCGGCACGAGAGAAAAGAGCAGGTTTTAACTCACCAAGCTGGTACCCCAGAGCCCCGCGTTACGTGGCATGCCGCCCTCACCGGAGCCGGAGCCGCTGCCGCCGAGCTCCTGGACGGCGATACCGATGAGGGTGCCGAGGAGGGCGCCGAGGGCCGTGACGAACTGGGCACCCATGGCGGCGCGCTTGCTGAAGCCGGATTGCACGAGGAGGGCAAAGTCGCCGACCTCATGGGGGATCTCGTGGAAGAATACAGCTACCGTGGTGGTTGCGCCGATGGTCGGGGAGGCGTAGAAGCTGGCGGACATGGCGAGGCCGTCTGTGATGTTGTGCGTGAAGTCGGCGCTGTGGGACGCAAGTCAGTACAGAACCAATTATCAGTAGAGTCGCACCCGAAGGCCGAGTAATAGGTTAGGGAATGCCGTACATCAGGTTCAGGTAGCCTCCGAGTCTCACGCTGGGGTTCATCTCCTTGTCCGCCTTGTCCACGGCGCCGTCGGATACAGATCCGGAGTCGGTCCCGGCCTTCTTCTTGCGCGAGGTGACCTCGCCCGCCTTGTCCACAGCAGACGACACGCCCTGGGCCTTGGCCTCCCCGTGTTCCTGCGCGTGCGAGTGCCCACCGTGATCGTGCGAGTGCCCCTCCCCGCCCGTGGCGATGCGCAGCCCCTTATCCATGGCCACGAACGTCATGAAGCCGACGAGGATCGCGACGCCGAGCAGCAGGTTACGGTTCGGTTCGACGAGGACCAGGCGCGCGCGTTCGGGCTCGTCCTCACCGAGGAAGATCTCGGGGAGCAGGTGGAATAAGGTGTCGCCCATGAGCCCTCCGACGGCGAAGGCGACCATGACGGAGAGGGAGGAGGGGTCAATGTCTGTCGGGCAGAGGGCGAGGAGGAAGTTGGGGGGCCCGGAGATGTAGAGGGTTGCGAGGAGGGCGTTTACGGCGGGGGAGCCGGGGAAGAGGGTTCCGAAGGCGCGGGAGAGGAGGGAGGGGGTTTCGGAGAGGGAGGCGAGTTTGGAGGAGGTAAGGGATTGGACTATCGAGCATTGCTGGATTGTCATTGTCAGTCGCGAAGGTCTGGGTTTGGAAGCATGTAGCTGTCCCGACGTAGTCCTCGATGTCGAGCTGCTTGTGCTATAGCTACCCAGGTAGACAGGATAGGCTAAGGGCAGGTAGGCTGCTCAATCAACTCACCTGCAGCTGCTCGTCGATTTCCTCGAGGCTCAACGATGCCACGGGCTTGCTCGTGAGACCAATCTTCTCGGCGACGGTGGAGGCGAGGCCGAGCTGCACCATCAGGAAGAGAGCCCAGAAGGCTGGCTTCCAAGAACGAGCCATTATTCGGTTTCCGATATCCTGCAAAGGTCTGTATTCGGTTTTGAAGAGTTTCTCGAAGCTTGCGTTGTGCTCAATTTCCCCGATTGACAAGAGGGAGGGTGGTTGTTGGAAGTGAGAAAACGAGTGGAAGCTCTCAATTGTACGACGAGGAATTGTCGAGAGAAGCGAAGCAAGTTGTGGCGGTGATCCTAACACTTGTTGAGATCTCTCTCGTTTACTCCAATTTCCGCATAGTGCAGAAAGCCCCCTCTTCTCTTCTCCCTGGATAAGCTGTCATCTCATTCCCTCCTCCAAACCTTGGCGAGCACGTCCGCTGCCGCTGCCGCTGCAGTGCCGGCCGAGGGAGACACTGTAATTCCGACCATTTTCGGCCGATGACCGGTGCGAGCTGTGCCTTTCCAGGTCGCTGGAGCCTGGAGGAGCTGCTGAGAGGGTCGCGTGCAGCTGATTGTGAGGGTGCTGCTCAGTGGAGGGGGTAATGCGAGCTGTGTGCAAGCTGAGAAGCATAAAAAACGCCGCTAGGCCGTTTTCGGGACTTGTTGTGCAAGTCTTGCGTCCGATGTTGGAATTGGCAGGATAACTCATCCATACAACCTGCCTGATAATCGATGTGGACTGGAAGTTTGGTCCAAAAACGCGGATCAAAGTTGCCAAAGACATTTGAAAACAGAAAATGCAGAAGGAAGGGGGTCTCGAGGAATTTATTCATTTTTCTCGCCCTTCCTGCTTGGACCCCGAAGGCACAAGAATTGGGACTAAAGCGCTTGGTACTGGGAAAGAGCTGGGGGCTCCCGAGGGTTTCGAGTACCCGGACGGGTCGGTTGGTCGTTTCCACTTTCCATCACCACCACTTGCCGCGTAAACGACATTCCCTCTTCAGCTTCGTAGGAGAGAAAGAGCACATGCAGGGTTTTATTTGGCCCAATGCTGTTGCGGAATGTTTCGAGCACTGGCAGAAGATGGGTAATGCTTGGGAAGTGATGGACTCTGATTTGCTGGGGAGGTTGCATCTTGGTCTTCGGGATGTGGGAGTGGAGGGCGGGTGTCGCCGAGCTTTCTGGGTGAGTTCTGACGTCGCCTCGTCCATCGTGGTAGGATCCTCGAAGCTGTGTTTGCTGTTATTGATTGTTTCTCTATCCATCTGGTCTCACTATGCACCATTGGGTTTTTTTTCGAAATAGTACGGGAAAACGAGGGCGCGATGGTTAGATTCTTGTACATGCAGCCTCTTACTCTGGAGCCAAGTCTTCTATGCGCCATGTTGCGTCTTCAAGAAATAGAACACGCGTAGCATTCGTAATTTCAAATGCACGGATATCAACAAAACCAAACCCCAAAGCTGAATGCATGGCCTGTCCGGGATGAACGGGTGGTCCATGTCTCCCGCTAGAACTGGTGCAGATTTCATGGCGGACTAGGATCTTGGACCGGCGCCTTCATCAAGAAGACGCTCTACCGAGCGACCAATGATCTTGCGCTAGTGACTCATCGTTTGGGGTTCAAGCAAGTACAGAGTACAGCTTCCCATCAGGTTTCATATTCTTTGCGACTTCGACCTCACGACTCTATTTCTTTTCTTGAGCGTTTCCAACTAAGATGGCTTCACTTTAGACAGATCTTATTTTCTCGTGCTTTGAAGCCGCATGCATCGCGATCCAGAGGCTATTTGTAAGAAGTATGCACATCATCGACGAATAGTAGAGTGAGAATAATTGCCGGTCGTGCTACTGTCCATCAGTAGTAAAGCTGGTGTACTCTCCACACGATGCCAACTGCTTTCAATAAGACGATTCTTCAGCGGCTATTTGTTTTTTAATCTTGGGTATCATCATCCTCAAATCACAGGCCTAGGTGCTGAGACGGAACTTTTTGTGCCGTGGCACATCTCGTGGGATGGGAGAGAGTATTCCTTCATATTTTTTGGTCGATGGTTTGAACATCCTTACCGATATGATTTTCAGAATGGACGGATCCCTTAGGGCTGATAATGTGACTGCGGATGAGTAGAAACCGTGGTTACCAAGGTTCGACGAAGAAATCCGGCCAAACAGGTGCCCAGAATCTTTTCGGAGACATGGTTTTGTTACCTATAATAAGGCGTCAACCAGCCAGAATGTGCTAAGCCCGTTGTTAAGCTGTTCTTGTCAGTCTACATTCATCAACAACTGTAGTTTTTCTCCGGCTTTGTTGGCTATTGAAGGGTCCAACCCATCGTCTCATCACCTATTTTCTGCTCAACCATCTTGCCCTCATCATTCTATCTTCCAAACACATACCAAACTTCAAACACATCGCCTCCTCACTTTTCTGTTCGCAAAGTACAGTCACCCTACACACAACATGTACATATACAACGTTTTCAACGCGATAGAGAGTGCCATCGATGCATACGACGGCAAACTATCAGACTATTACTTCCTCAACCAATGCATGCGCATCATTTGCGAGCTATACGGAATGGTTCTCCTCGGCATCATGGACTATTTCCTTTTGCTCCTCGTGCTTCGATTCGACGCCGAGGAGCAGCCGTGGCGCACACTCGGTCACGACCCCTACGGATTTATCTGGTCCAAATACACCAAGGTCTACGATGTCGGTAGTATTGAAGATTTCGGCACGCAAAAGGCTGGGAACAACGGGACTATTCACGGCTTGGATATCCTGAACGGAACAACGTCTGGTCAAGAGCCTAACTATAGGCTGATCCTGCGCAGATACGGCAAGGGGTACGGTGGAGGTATTTTTGGACAGTATGATGGTTGGAAAATCTTTGGGTTCCTTCTACACTATGTCATACATGACGTTCGAGCTGGTGTAGCCGCTACGAAACTCGCTCGAAGAGAGAGCGGCATTGAAGACTCGGAAGCCGCCACGGAGCACTATCTCATATGGGGCCTGTCGCTCGTTCCTATGTTCTTCAGCGGACAGTCTTACTACGATAATGCTTGGGAATCGATACTTCTGCTGATCATGCTGGAGAGCGTCAACCAGGCACTAGCCTTGTTCTATCGCCTTCGAATTGAAGAGGAGCTGTGAAGGTATGCGAGAAATATGAGACCTCGGGTGAAGGAACATTGTGCGAAAGATGAAAGGGGTAGGAAAGGGGCCCATACAACCAGCATTACAAGAAAAGATATTGAGAAAGAAAACGAATCAGTAGATCCTATTGTAACTTTTGATTGATCTGCAATTACGACTCCCAGGGAAGGTCAAAAGGCAGCGAAGATTTCATGCGGATCAAAGTAACGACAAGGTCAAGCAAAACCATGACGATGAAGCGTCGCCATCAGGCCCTGCTTCCAATGACACTCATGGCCGAGACATCACCGTATAGAAGGAGATAGGGTAGATATTTGCCATGGCCGATGAGAGGGAACATATCAAGTACCTTTCATTCACAGGTATGAGGTTCGGCAGGAACGCCAGCTGAACCATGTCGAACTTAGAGAAGTGGAAAGAATCAACATGATGTGTATCCCAGTTGTGGCGGATGTCTGCCCACCCTGGAAGTAGCAGTCATATCTAAATTACCATAGCCGAAGGTTTGGGCAACTCCTATGCCCCACGTACATTCATTCGGTGGGAACGTGCAGATATTGAGCAAGAATACATCAGTTTCAATTGGTGCTTGCCGAATATTTGCTCCCATCAGATATGTCGAGAAGAAGTTGCGGAAGAGATGATATGCTCAATGACTGCCTCCAAGCTCTAGACATTCGCAACTTCCGCATCGAAGCAGCAGGACTGGGCAGTAGCACCAGCCCAACCGCGTCAGTTTAAAATATCGGAAGTAAGTAACGGGATTCCTGAATTAAAGTCGGAAGGGTTGACTCTGTTTCATGAAGTTCTTGGACCGGTATATATACCCATCGTTTCCCCCCCATCTCTTCTCCTCCTCTTCTTCTTCTTTTCTTCTCCAAGGAGGTCGGTCGTCTATCATTCACCATCGAATAATCAAAGCGAGCCGCATAGCGATACACTCTTATACTTATACTTACAACATGGACCTCCTTTCCGCCTTCATCCTCGCGACACTGGTCGTGGTCGCCCTCTGTTTCCTCGGAATCAACTATCGACATTCTCTCCGACGTGGCTGGACAAAATTCTCAAGCACCAGAGCCTACGCATGGGCTCGTCCGGTCATGGTTGCGCTTCTGGAGGTCTTCCTGAGCGGCATGAAGAAGGCCGCAACGGAGATCTTCAAGGAGATCGGTCTGGCAATCTGGAGAGGAATGACGGGCATGCAGAAGCCTAGTGCCGCTCAGGGCGGTGCTGGTGGACGTTGCTCCGATGAACCCATCGTGGTTCACAGAGGGTATCTCACCCGACGGTGTCTTCTTTTGACAATATCCGACGCCCCGGTTCTTGGGCTCCAGCGGGGGGCCTTGCAAATTATGTGCTCTCTCGGGAGCGTTCTTGACGACATGTTTTCTTACGACATCTTACATCACGGCATCTTACATCACGGCATCTTACATCACGGCATCTCTCAGCCTGGATCCCCTATCACGCCGTCTCTCAAAGAAGCATTCTTCGTCATGGCCGTCTCTTATCGAAACACCTCTATCACGGCATCTCGCACAGCAGTATCTTCCATCATGGGTCTTCCATCACGACGTTTTCTCTCGCAACATCTCAGTCTTCTACCAAGGCGTCTACACTGGCTTTTCTCATATCACTGGCCCATGTGTCGTGACGAAGTCATTGTTTTCTGTTCGGCTTGTCCAAGGTCATTGCCAAAGCCATCCGTCATGACTTCGACCCACGAGCCTGTCTTCCACCAGATGACCAACTGATCACTTCATCTCAACAACTTCCTTGTCAAGAGTCTGAACACGAAGACTTGTCATCTATGGGATGCTGTAAGATGATTATCCTTACTGGCTGTCGTGGTGTCGGTCCCTCCCGGACTGTCTCCAGAAAGCCTGCCAACATCAGGATCATCGTCGAATACCTCTGGTTAGACTGGACTTCGGGACGAGGAGCCGTCTCATTCATCCGTGCTGGTCTTTATGTCCAAGTCTAAGGCTAGCTATCTACAAGCTGGCACACGAAAACAGTGGTATAGCTTTCTTAACTTTGCCCTTGGTTACCTGTAAACGCAACTAAAGTGTCTGTTTTCCATTATGGCTCAACCATGTTGGGTGAAGCTGCTCGCCATGGCTGGTGTTGGTGGTTCGGGTCACATGCTCCACGGGTAAGTCAAGCCTCTGAGTCCCTGTATCCAACATAGCTGACAAGAAGTTGAGGCTCTTGAAGTCTTGACCAATCAGGTGAAGCACACTGTTGGACCTACGGCGTATGTTGAAGGTGTTGATGCCACCACCGTCTACCCTCACCATGGGTTGCGTCTCTTTGACTATTCGTCACTGTAGTGCAATCAACCATGAGCGGGTGGGGCGCGCCAGAAAGCACATGGGGGTGTGTCAGTGCGTGTGACAGCCGCTGGAAGGAGCATCAAAAGGTGGTCAGAGCTTCCCATGTCACTGGTTCTCTCTGCCAAGTCTTGCACCTCCTCCTCCAAGCACCTGGAACCCCGCCATGCCCGCCTCCTTTGCAGCATTCAAGGTGGCTGTGCAAGCAATCGACACTTCAACCCCTCTTAATACTGAACAATCAAACCCAAAGTGACGAATCCACTGAAGAGAGAATGGAGGGGGGGCGAAAAAGGGGTCCGTCACTTGTCGTCCAGTTTCCCATCAAACAAGGTGTCGTTGGGTGCAAGGACTGGGAACACCTTGAAAGTCAACAGTGGCCAATGACGTCGCTCGCCGCCCAGAGGCCTCTCGGGCACGCACCAGCGCCATCACCAAGCTAAAGCACGGCGCACCACCACCAACAGCTGCTTTAAGCGCCATGCAAGCTGTTTCGACAAACCTGCAATCCAACCATATTCGCCCTCACTACACCCCCGGTCCTTGAATAGACAGAGCCCGGCTCGTCGTCACAAAGTCTCAGAGCACCATCCGAAGTGCCACTCACCTTTACCGTTCCTTGCGATTCCTGCTCAGAGGTTTCCCTGCTGGCGAATAGCTGTCGCGGTTCCCCTACACAGTCGTCACTTTGTCTGATCGCTGGCGTTCACCTACCAACCAGACCTTTTATCCTCCGTACCGCAACTCGCTTCAACAACTTCCCTGGCAGACGCTCTCTCCCACTTGCAAACCGATCGATCCCCTTAGACTCTTTGGACCCCGCGGTCTCTCACCAAAGTTCTCCACGACATTACGCGCCAGTCGCATCTCGAGACACCACCACCCAAGAGCATCCATCTTGTACGAGGCCTGACCTGACGTAACCAAAATCTCAACTTTCTGCGCCTGTTTTGCGCACCCATCTTCACCATGGCTTCGGGACACAACGTACGCCCCCCAAGACGGAGACAGTATCGCGACCGCCTTTACTGACCTTGAAACCAGGACCCCAAGCTCCTTTACGCCATCAATGGCGTCCAAGCCTTCCATATCTCCAATGGCAAGGAGGAGTCGCTCACACCCGCCGGGCCCCAGACCTTGTCGCTGTTGATGGTACCGACTTCTTCACCCTTCACCGACGCAGACTCCCCCGCCGAGGACTTCTACTTGCACCTCCATCTACCTCCCGAGCTCGATCTTCCTCTTCCTGCGACAACACAGATCTACCACCAGCCGCCAACAAGCTACCTGATTCCAAGATGGGATCTGGGCCCAGACAGTGGCGCTTTCACTCGTATCGAGTTCCCCGACACTGGTAGCCGGAAAGGACTGCAGGAGGATGTCGACACCTTCGAAACGATCCTTGCGCAATGCACCGCTTTCCTCGAGCGAGCCCCGCCGCCAAAGACCTCCTCCAAATCGGCCAAAGCCGCCGCCGCCGCCTTCGCATACCCCTACGATGACCCCGTTACCGATCGTCCCTCTGCCAAGTCCAGAGCTGCCGCCGCCGATGGCCTCCCCGCCTACAACCCGGCCGACTACCAGCCCGGACAGGGCTATGCTCCGGGGGCCCACAGCTCTCAGCACAATGGCGGCCGGATTGTCCTGATTGACGAAGAAGACGGAAGTGTCATTGGGGAGCTGACTGAGAACTACCAAGTCGTAGAGGAGCTGGGCGTCAAGCCTGGAACAAAAGGTAAGTTTGGCGGCACCTCGGCCGAGCTTGACTCACATGGCATGCTAGATCCGGTGGAGATTACACTCCCTGCCGACAACAGCCAAGCCATTACCGTTCAGCCCGTGTCGCAGGAGTATCGCGAGATGATTATGCACCCATCGTACAAGAAGTCGTTCTTGGTGTCGAATGCTTCAAAAGCGTCCCGACTCATTGTGACATCGTCGGACTTGATCACAAAGGGTTTGCAGTCCTCGGCCGACAATTTCACAAAGAAGACGAAGGCGACGACCGAACCCGTGACGTTTACCCCTGCCGCGCACGACCGTGTACGACGCATCAACCAGTTTTCCAGCAAGGCGGCTGGTCTGTCGGCGACCACGGTTGGTGCGGTGGGCAAAGTGGCCCAAAACCTGGGCGCCACCCTGGCTAGAAAGAAGGATGGCAGTGGAAGAGGATACGATAAGGAAGGCAACCCCATTGAGGGTTACAAGCCTGGCCTGCTGAACAGAAGCTTGATGGCGTTTAACACTGTTGCGGACGGCATTGATCAAGCAGGACGTAATCTGTTGACTGGCACCTCATCCAGCGTGTCACAGATGGTGGAGCACCGTTGGGGTGCCGAAGCTGGTCAAGTATCCAGGAACATTGGCGGCGGCTTCAAGAACGTTGGGTTGGTGTACATCGATGTGACTGGTGTATCTCGCAGAGCAATCCTGAAGAGCGTAGCAAAGGGTATGGTCGTCGGTAAGGTAAAGGGTGGTGGACAGATCATCGTCGGAGGCGGCGATGGCGGAGCAGTGGGTTATCTGGAAGACCAGAAAACTCGCAAAGAGGACCAGAGCGATACGGCCAGTATGTACACGGCATATGAGGGCAACGGCAAGCAGCCAGCTGGCAAGAGGCCGTGAGTGTGCATTGAGGGATAATTGTTCTGCTTGAAATAGAGGGGACCTGTGGACATTTAAGAGGTACTGAGTTCAGTGTTGAAAGACTTGGAACGAAGGGATGGATGGTGGGCCACTATGCAGTTTTGTCCAGCCAGGGCGTATTCAATACGAGTAAACGAAACCTAGGTAGCCCAATCAAAGAAACCAGAAGCCACTATTGGAGTCCACTGGCCGCGTTTGTAAAGTTAAAGAATTCCCATTTTGGCTGAAGAGTGTTCGTTCGGGATAAGCCTTGGACGGGTAAGACGGAGTACACTTCTAATGCCGCCAGGTGCTGGTGTGCCGGAAGCCGTCGGCGATTACATAACCTCAAACGTATGGTCACGTGGACCCGCAAACGCCTTGCCAGGTCTCACTGTCTCAGTGCGGCCACTTTAGCCCTTCCGGTCGCGTCAGATCGCGCTTCCCTCCCGGCGCCCACTTCCATCAATGCGACTACTGTGATATTGGAAGGGATCAGGCCCTCAGCATGGAGCCTCCTTGACGTCGGTGCTGTTTTGTTGTGGCTCGCGCTCTGCTGTTCCCGTCTGAGAGAAAGAGAGGGAAATTGAATTTCCTTTTGGGTTCGTGCTACGATATCTTAGTTCTATGCAGCCCAAACAGATCAGGTAATTTATCCATTTGCCAAACATCCGTCACCTGTTGTTGTAACGCAGCCCAACTCTCCCCGTCTTTTGCTTCCTCTCGCCGACCTGCCCCGCCATCCCGCCAGATCCTGGACGACACCCGGCGATTTTTCTCTCCGCCGTATTGCCAGCCAGCCTCCACTCACCCAAAGACGAGTAAATGTGTCGCTTCGAGCTATTAGGCGCTTTCATCTTGCTTCTCCGTGACTTTGGCGAAAAGTCAAAGTCCAAGAAGCCGCCGCAACCACGCGAAATGTGCCACATCCTCCTCCTTCGTCTTACCTCCTTGAACCCATGATCGAAACTCCACTGCCTGTACCTTGTCCCCGACTAACACCTCGATTCTTTTCCCTTAATAGAAGCAAACAGCCGGCATGCTCCACGAAATCCTCCTCGCCCTCTCTGGGCACCCCTCCCCTCTCCTCCGAACCGACAACTCAGATCCCAATGCGCTATCAACGGAAATCTCACCACCGGAGCGCGAACTCCTAGCCACCGCCGCCCACTTGAGCGACCTCCACGTCAAATTGCAGAGCTACACCGCCCCCATCGCCGCCGAGCACCCATCTACGATATGCCGCGCCACGGCCACCGCGATACAGTCCGTCCACCTAGCCGCTTTCCAGCGCAAGATTCTCGATGTCGAGGAGACGATACTGCGCAAAGACTCGAGTCTTGTCGGCGCCTACAATATTGTGCCGCTGACGGCCGTTGTGGGGGAATTTTCCGAGTGGACGAGACGGATGGAATGGTTGTGGGAGATTGTGCAGTTCATGCTGAAGAAGCAGCAAGGCCAAACGTGTCGCGGCGCACAGCTGATTGACAGGCTGAGGAGTGAGCTGCAGAGTGGTTATGTCGATATTGAGAGGACGGCTATGAGCCTCGTGTCCGTGGCAGAGACGGCGTGGCTGAAGCAGGTTTCTGCTTGGATCCTCTATGGGCGATTGCCGACCTTTGGAGGGGAGGACTTTTTCGTGCAAAAGTCGGAGGGAGGTGACCAGGTATGTCGTCGATTCTGGGTTATTGTGAGGTTCGTGACTGACCGCGGCAGGAATACATCTTGGTGCCGTCTTTTCTACCCAACTTTGTAACCCTACCAACAGCATCATCAATGCTGTTCATCGGCAGGTCACTCAACCATGTTCGTGTCAAGGGCAGCGTCGAATCTGGCCTACAAGGCCTCGATCACCTGTCTTCACAACTAAAAGAGCTATCCGCTTTAACCTACCCTCTTCATACGGCGAGCTTCTCGCGCGCCATTACCTCGATTCGCCTCACACTCTCACGGACGATCTTGCTCAAGCTCCTGCCTCTCACCAAAGTTGTTGAGGCACTGCAGGTTTTGCGGGAGTTCTTCCTCCTTGGCCGGGGCGAATTCGCCATGGCTCTGACGCAGCAGGCTGACGAGAAGCTCCGGAGCCGATGGAAGAGATCCGACAACCTCGCGTACGAGAAGCGGGAAGGCCTCGGCACCTTTGCCGTCAAGGAGGGCGAGGTCGCCGCCGTGCTGGCCAAGACGTGGGCGGCCATGGGTTTGATGCAGGGGCAGCATGCGGACGAAGACGAGGGGTTGGAGATTGCGCGAGAGCTTCTGCGGTTGACTCTCACAAAGTCCAAGCCGGCAGTGCCTCTCAAGCTCGAAGCAAGCGTGTCACGGCCCACGACGAAAACTCTGGCCACGACCCCTTTCCGCAACCTCCTTTTATCAGTTCCTGTCGTCCTGACGCTGCAGATTCCCTCGCCCATGGATATGTTCCTTACCCCTTCTGACTTACAGATCTATTCCACCATCAACTCGTACCTTCTCTCTATTCGCCGAGCACACATTCGTCTCACTGAGCTGTGGAAGATCACATCCTTACGCCGGCATCATCCGGCACCCCCGGGACCACCTGCTGGAAGCACTCGAGCAGGGCGCTCGAAGGTGATACTGCTGCGTCAGCGCTATACGCAGCGGTCCAATGCCTTGCGCAGCGCCTGGGTCACATGCAGCTCTGCGTTATTCTTTCTCTCCGAGACGGAGGCATACTTGCAAACGGAAGTAGTGGCTGGGCTATGGGACGGCTTTCACGACTGGCTGACTCCCAAGGAGGAGACGGACGGCACTGAAACGGGGCCCTCTGGTGTATCAACCAAGGCGGCATCAAAACCTGCGACGGATGTCGATGTAGAAGACGAAGACGATGACGACATATGGCTAGCCCAGAGCACATCTACGACCAAATCACCAAAACCAACAGAACCTACCACGACCCACGACCCCCAGAGTCTCGCCACGGCCCACAGAGCCTACCTCCGCGCCCTCTCCACCCGCCTCCTCCTCACTTTTCCCACCTACACGGACCCGCTGTACAACCTCCTCACGCACACGGACCACCTCGTCGCCCTGACGCAGCGCCTCCACGCCGTCTGGACCTCGATGGACCTCGAAGCGGACGCGGGCGTCGTCGATGCCTTTGTGGACCTCGAGATTGAGGAAAAGGAGGTCCGCGCCGCGATCCGCGACGTGGAGAAGCATGTTAAGGACGGGATCCGGGACGTGATTGCCGCGTTGCGGAGCCTGGAGGCGGACCCGGCGGCGTTTGCGGACGAGGAGGAGGGCGGCGAGGAAGGCGTCCTTAGGGAGGAAGGGGAGTATGTCCCGCGAAGGGTCGGTGGCGTGGAGAGGTTGTTGATGAAACTTGATTTGGCGGGGTGGTTTGGGGAGAGGAAGGATGATTTTGGGTTCGTGTTTAGTGAGTACTGAGCGCGGGGAATGGATATTGGCATAAAGAGCGAGCATTTGCAACAACAAGCGGACGTACACACATGGAATCAACGGAGCCTGTTGCCAACCCCGCAAAGGGCAGCAGATTCCGTGGAACCTTTGACGCTCCTCGAAGTACCCCTACTTCGATGAGGATCACCAAACGATGGTATCAAAGCGGGGAGGAGTAACACGACGATGGAAAGAGACACATTCCGTCATAAATCCAAATCTTGAAATCGCCCTAGAAAAACGGGGAACACAAACACCATTCATTGCACTGCGGGGGACGTTTGCACAATTACGATGGAGGTGGTGAGATGTCAACTTCTGCTCGGCTAGACAAGCGAGGAGGCGAGCTTTCCACGATACGCCTTTCTTCTTTCTTCCACACTTCCGCTGTCACGGTGGGAAGGGAAAGGCAAAGAACGTGTGGTGTGCAGCGGTGGTGGGGTGATTTCGTTCGGCCGGCCGGGGGGGGGGGGGCCCAGCGAAGTAGACGGCATAGGGGATCTGGCACTTTTTTTTTTCTCTTTTCACTTTTGTTACCGGCGGGACGGACCGGGGAAACGTCATGGTGTCACGCCAGAGCGGAGCTGGTGTCGCCAGGTCGGTCGTCGTCAGATAGTTTTGCGTGGGGTTCTCTCGGTTCGCTTCCCCCAACTGGGGCTTGGCGTCGTACCGAAATCTCACGATGGGGGAGTGGAGTTTGTGTGGTGTGACATTGACGATAGGTAACCCGTTCACTCGCGACGGAAAGCTTCAGTGTTCTTGTCCATCGTGTAATCGAGCTGGAGTGGGGGTGTCTTCTTCCCTCTCTCGGGTTTTTTTTTCTTTAGCATCGAGCATTAGCACTTGGCGTTGAAAATCTTCCATGGTCATGTCGGTCTTCAGCCATGCACAATGGTGTAGTTTGAGCAAACCAGAATCGAGGCAATAATGCATCTTTGTGCCTTCATTCATGATTACGAAATACCTAATCCAGAAGGATGAGGTTTCGAGGGTAGTCGTTTCAATTCGTACAGGGCTTGCTTGCTTGCTTTCGCAACTCATCCAATTCATCCATTCCATCCCAGCTCTTGGGGGTTTCCGATCCAGCGCCTGTTTGATGCATCTTCCATGGAAGGAAAAAAGTAAGGAAATACATACAGAGAGATAGATGCACACCTTAAAAGAAAAGAAAGAAAGAGAAAAAAGGGGAGTCCAAAACGCCATTCCACCCCATGCTGTGAGCGGGAGGAATTGTCCCCATGGTACCGTATCCTGCCCATCATATCCACATTGCTGTCATCTGTGTGTTGTGTACTGTTCTGTTCAGTATGTTCTGCGTATAATCCGCTGCTTGGGTTTTGCTCCCTTCTTGGAGTCTGTGTAAGTCGATCGCAAGTCGATTTGGAGCTTCCATCCGAAGATGTGCTTATTTTTGGTTCTTTTTTCTCCCCTACAAGTGATGAGAAATCCGTGATAGAGCAAGAGTTTTTAGTTTCCAATGATGGAAAAAAAAAAAAGGGTTGATCAGAAAATGGCGCCTGGTGCTTTCATCTCAATAAGTCGAAATCGGACGTTGTCGCAATGGACTTGAAGCTTGATCAGAGGGGCGGCGCTGGAAAAGGTGTTGCATAAAGGCCTTGGGGCCCACATGCTCGACGTCGACAGATCGGGAGGTCATGGGCACCGGGATGCGGGTAAACTTCTTCGTTTGCCAGCGAGTCTTGATGCAGTCGTCAACAAGGGCCATAAGACCGGTGGCGATAATTACATCGGCGACGTCGGTGACGGCATCGAGGACGCTGCGATCGCTGATCCACATGTGGCAAGGGGGTACCCAGCCACCGGCACTTTCATCCTCAATAACCTGGTTGGGCGATCGTGTCTCGGGGACAATGTGCGCAACGGCATCGCGAGCGTCGTTGTTGCCGTCCTTGACAAGGTGGAAAGAGACGACACCGAGGTTCTTGTCGGTGACACGCTTCCACTGGTACTTATGACCCCACCAGTCAAACTCGTAGCGCTTGTTGTTGGCACCGCCGCGGCGTGAGACGTCGACGCGCGCATAGTTGGAGAACTCGAGCTTCATGGTGTTGCTGGGAACCGGTCGAGCTTTGGATTTCGCTTCAAACGAGGCTGAACGCTTGAAACTTGCCGCGTCGTCGCCAAAAGTGCGCATAGACGAGGAACTGGACTGTGGGCGCTGCGAAGCTCCCTCCTTGCCCTTGCCTCCGAAGATTGAGCCGCCCGAGTTGGTGCGCGACAGAGGAGGTCTCCTCATGGAGAGGGTCTTGATGGCGCTTGAGACGGATCGTTGGAGAGTTGGTCGCTCTTGGTTGCTTTCCTCGACGTACTTGCGCTTGGAGTTGCAGACTTCGCGGCCGGAGTCGCGGCAATAACGTCGAAGCGAGAATTCACGCTTGCTGAGGTCGTACATGCGTAGGTGAAAGAGCTGGATGTTGAAGGGACGGCGACCGGGGGCGACGGTGTCTACTCTGAGATTCATGTTACCGTCCGGGGTAAACTCGTCGTGGCAAACTGATAATCTGTTCATGGAAGGGAACAGTTTGCCAAAGTCCTGGGGTGTGGATGGCCGTACATCGGTGTCGATGATATCGCGGTAGTAGGTGGGCAAAGGCGGGATGTCGCGGTGCTTGTCGAAGTTGTCTAGTTCGGCTTCCCGTTGAAGCTCAAGCTCATCTTCATCGTCCGAAGCCAGACTTGAGTCGAAAGTGTCGACGGAAGATCTCAAACAGTTGCTAGTGGAAGGGGATATGTCTTCCTCGTAGACAGGCGGGATCTTGTTAGAGACGGTTCTAGCTTCTTTGACTGATGACGCTTCGGTGCTCGCATAGTAAGAAGTAGGTGTTGTGCTCTGTGATTCATACGTCTCGTATGAGTCGCAAGATTCGCTACTCCTGCGGAAGTCTCGACTACTTGTCGAGCTCTTGGAGCTGTTTTTCCGATATGAATGTGACATGGTGATGTGTGATTGTGTGTTGTATTGGGTTCAAGGGTGAGAGAGAGAGAGGAGTGTTGTTGGAGTTGTACGATGTCGTAGGGGTATGTATGTATGCCAGGATTGCTAGGGGAGGGAGCAAGGCTTCATATAATCCGAATGGAACAAGGCCTCTGGATAAGTGAGCTGGAGAGTTGGGCTCTAGAGATTGGGGGAAGAGGGCGTGAAGTATTGTGCAGGTTGGTGAAGGATTGGGCAATAACGTGTGTTTGACGTGAAGCCAGGGTGTTGGTTTCCGATGAGGACCTGAGGCGATGGGGCCGGTTGGATAAAGCAGGGGGTGTATGATTCCGAGGCGGTTGGGGATGGAAAGGAGTTGAGATGTGAGAGTGATTATAAAGTGAGTATGGTCAAGATTTTGTGGATATGGTACAAGTGCAAGAATATAGCCATCAGGCAGGAGAGCAGTCCGATGAGAATCCAAAAAGTGCAGAGACGGAAAGAGTAATACGTGATGCTGGGGGTCGGGGCGCGACGGGTGGGAGGTGGTTTGCTTCTTAACGGAGAGTGGGCAGCTCTGGCGCGGACGGGCAGGGAAGACGTAGGACGGGGATCGGAGATGGCAGAGGCAGCGACGGCAGAGACGGGGAAAGTCGTCCAGTTCAGGGTACTTGGGTACCTAAGGTACGTAGTGAGGTATACGGAGTACCTACAGAAGGACCCCAGACGGTACGACACCACACGACTGGAATTGGAACAACAGGCCCTGCACTGCTACCTTCCCTTGGGTACAACTCAGAAGTACTTGCCATCCCCCCTGCTTGACCCGAGATGCCTTACGGTGCCCACTGCCAGCTGCTTGCTGTGTGGCCTTCTCCCTCAGAACCCCGAAAGATTGGACAAGACGGGATGGATGGGTTGGAGAGGGAAGAGGAGCGACAGGGTTTTCCGTATGGCTGGCGAGAGGCCAGGCCGCCGCCAGAGGCGTGAGTCGCCCAAATGGACGGGCGGTCTGCCTCTTGGGGAATGTGGATGCGTGAACGAAGGCGACGATGCGTTACAAGTTATCAACAAGTCATTCTGTGCCTCATCCTCATCCTCGGGCGCGTTGGCGTGAAGGAGGACTCGGAACGGTCAAGGAGTGACATGACCCCAAGTACACAAACCCGCACTCTGTCAGGTACCATGTCATCTTTCTCTTTTTCTTATTCCCTCCCCCATTTTTGGCGACAACGAGACACGAAGGCACTGCATGTGTGGGGGGAAATAGATGGGAGGAAGTCTCGCTGGGCTTGGCTTTGCAATGCAGACAAGTCACCCGGCCGAGCGAGGGAACAGAAACACCGGGAAGGAGCCAGCGGTCTCTCGGCCTTCTCAGTCCTCCTTCCTTAGACTCAGGAATAAGGTGCCCGTAAAGTACCCTTTGGAAGGTACGGATACCTTGGGCAAGAAACGGGGAAAGCAGGCACGGTGGCCCGCCGTGGGATGTTCCCTGCCCGATACGGTACGAATTGCTTGTGACCTATACCTAAGGTAAAGGCTTTTGATTCTGGCCTGGCCGAAGGAAGTTTTAGGGGAGCAACAATGTCCCACGAATAAGGCGCCGTGTCGCATTTGCAAATTTCTCGCTGCCACCATTCTTGCGAGTCCAACACTGAAGATTTCAAAGACACCCGACAGCGAATACGTCTTGCAGCATGCTCGAAAGGGAGCCAGGGTGGCACGACAGGTCTCGCGGTTTTAGCTTCCAGTGGCATGTTTCCTAGAGACCTTGACCCTGTCTGTCTGCCCGCTAACTTCAACGCAGTAAGGGTCGGAGCCCACATTCACACCCAGATTCTTCACTTCAAGGATAGAGGGACCGAGGGAGTGTCCCGCTGGAACGGTCGGAATGGAGACCTGCTTTGGAGCTTATTCCTGGCAATCGTTCCCGCTGGAGACGCAGGCAAAGGCAGGCCGGGAACATTCGGTTTGCGGCTTGCCCATCAATTTTGATCGAAAAAGCCCCCCAAAACTCTGTTTGTAAGCTAACGATTCCAGCCCGACGACCGCCACGTCCAACCCACGTCCCCCCATGTTCACTACTACGAATACACTCACTTCTTCTTGAACCAGCTGGCGCCTCTCGTGGCTGAGTGGAAAGTCACAGTCATCGCTATCGAAACTCACGGCTGGAAACAGGCACACCGCATACTGGCTGGCTGGCTTGGGTCCCAAAGTTAAGGCGGTTTTCCGGATGGTCCCCAGGCCACTGGATATCCCAGCAGTGACCGAAAAGATTCACTCCTGCCTGCGTGCCTACTTGGCCTGACTCTCACGGAGCTGGTCTCTTTTTTCAGCGGCCAATGATCCAATACCTCGTGGGCCGCCTACTGTGGCTTGGGCGGCGACCAAAGCCTGAATGAACGTGTCGTGTCATGAGGTATTAGGGAGGGGCCTTATCCGAACAATCCTGACGCCCGTGTCATTGCCATTTCCAGTCATCGTCGTGCTTCCTCGCGCGGCTGATGGGAAAATGTCATACCTGATGACCTAATTAATACAGCAGGAAGAACACGGAAGAAGGGAAGGAATCTCCCGCCGGTTGAATCATGTTACTCGCCCAAAAAGAATGCAAAATGACCAAATCATCTTGCGAGGATCGTCCGTCCCCCCAGGGAGAATTTTCTCCTCCTGGCTTTTTCCTTTCTGCCCATCTGATTGATCCGTTGCTTCAACGATCGGCACTCGTCGCCCTTCCCGGATCGCTTCCCGTTTTCTTGGTCACCGTCTGCCAGTCTGGGCTCGTCGACTCGCAGCCAAGGCAGCTTACCCTCCTTGCCTCCCTGGATCTCTTGTCCCTCCAGCTTGGAAATGATTCCCTGCCTACTTCCCGAGACTTCGACCTGCATCTAGAACGTCCTCTTTTCCCTCACCTGCCCCCCTTCTCCCCGTCATATTCTCTTCATTCGCTGGCACTGCTGTTATCTCTGTGTAATACCCCTTCGTCTTCCCCCCAAACTCCACGCCGCACCACTCATTGGATTTCCAGATAGTTACTAGGTGACGTGCCACCTACGACCTTCGGTTTTGACTTCGTCTTCCTACGCAATGCTCCGTCCAACTCCGTCTCACACAATGAATTCATCGCGGCGCAACGTTCGACTTGCCCCTCTGCCCCGCCGCCCAATCGACGACGGCCTCCCGTCGTCACATCCGCGATGCCACCCTCAAGCGCCCCATACGACCCCATTAACACGTGTAGACTAGAAAGGCCTTCTAGAATTCCCGTCGATAGCCACTGCACTGCATAGCCGTAACCCGCGTCAGCCAGTCCAGTCCAGCTCAGGTATCCAACCTGTTGATCACAGAGGGAACGGATGACACATCGTGCGCAACACCAGACCCTGCTTTGTACCCCACGGTTCACAGGCAACGCTTACTGCGCGCACACAGCCCTCAGGCCGGCCCGCCCTTGGAGACCTGAGTCTGTATGTACGGATAAACTGTGGCTGCTGCCACGGCGTCTGACAAAAGTCAATCTATCCGACTTTAGTTCTGCGTCGTCTCCATTTTGATACGGAGCACAAGGCACGCCGCAGTCCCAGAGAGTCAGGGACCGTCTTTGACGAACCCCACCAGCTTTGTTGGCCGCCTGGTCTTTTGCGCTTAATTTAGCTCCCTCCTTCGTCAGCCACAACCAGCCGCCATTGTTACGCCGTCTTTCCCCGCGATGCTGCCGCTTCACACACACCGCAACCTCGTCCGCAGCTGGCCTGGGATGACGATGGCGGTGGGATCTTTGGGGGCTTCTAGGACTGCCTGCATCGTGCTATGAAGACGCGCCGATGACTCTTGCGTAACGCTTCAGGGTTGCGGAACGGTCCTCTTCGACAACGACACCAACTTCCCTTTCGCCTACAGCGGCCACGGCGTTGAGAACCCCATTTCATCTCAAAAGCCCTGTTATATGCTCCAATAACAACATCGTGACGCATCATCCACCGCCTCTTCTTCTTCTTCTTCTTTCAAGCGCCCTCGCTGATGCCCAACGGCCGAGTTAGCCCCACGAATTGGTCAGAGTCGAGGCTGGCATGCCGCACTTGATTCATTGGAGCAAGCGGTCACGATCAAAGCCCCAGAGCCCGCTCTCGCTTCGCTGTCCTCTGGATACCAGGCACGACTTCCTGCAGTTCCGACTCGGCAGGCGTTCTTGGGACTTGGGACCTGGTAACAATGTGCATGCTGCCTAGTTTGCATCTTTGCCTGGGGCACAAAAACTTTTGAACCCCTATTTACTCGGCATGCATCGTATCTGGAGACCAATGCCAGCCCTGGCGTTGATTTGCATCGATTTGCAAAGGCTACAAGGCGGCCTTAAGGCTATGTGGTTGCAATTATCAGTACTCATGGCTTTGCGATGGAAATCGCACAGTCCTCGATTCATAGTGCGGCTTGACAGCTCAGTATGACGAGGTCAATTATCCCAAAGCAGAATGTAGCGTATCCAGCTCCTGCAACCCCATCTGCAGCCGTTTGCGACACGCTTGTCTTACGAACTTGCAGCAGAATGACCGAACCTGCGTCTGCGCAGAGACCGTTTCTGCCAAATTCATTTGTACCTTCGCTTATGCGGGTTGCTGTCATCTTGGCTTCGGACCACCGCCGTGTGTCAGATGATGATTCGCTGGATCTACTGCTTCACCACTCCCGAGAATCGGCCCTGTTCACGACAGATCTTGAGCACCCAACACGTGCTATCTCATTGCTGCTCTGGGTCTTCACTGCCAGGTCTCTTCGACTGATGCTGTACTCCGTAGGACGGCGCAAAGTCACGCCCCTATCAACTGCTGCTGCATTTTCAGGGTCTATTGGCGGCCCAACGCGCACTTCACTGTGATACGGTGCAGGGCGAACAATCAGGCATCCAGATTCCATCTCGTTTATGGAACAGGCGACCAGATGGCACCGATTCCGGCACCATGGGGACTGTTGGTCTACCACACAATTCTCGTGCTTAATCGACCTCATCCTGCGGCCCAGATTATGCGGCGCCTCATACCCTTAAAGTCATATTGCAAGGATTCTATCAGTGTCTGCATACAACTCCTAAACGTGTCATAGGCGGTATCAACATTTGGGAAACTATCAATCAGTAGTTACTGCCGATCAGTGCGGGAGTGACACTTCCTTTGACTTTGTACGCGTTCCTTGATCGGCGTTCCTCTCGGGCCACTACCCGGCGCTTGGCCGTCGGCAGACCTTACCAGGAATGGCAGATTATAAGGAACATCTCCTCGATGTGAGGATGGATCACCGTTGTCGTTCAGCGGCTCGGTTGTGCTCATGGTTCCGTCGAGCTGGCTTTCAACATCTCCTGGATGACTCCCTCGCTACGGTACGGATGTGTTCCTACGTGCCGCTTTTTGGTCCTGGCTCTCGGGTCTAGAAGATACACTCCAGCAAGATACACTCCAGCAAGATACATACAGCATGTTGTAGCGTAAGTATGGAACGGATTGGGTGACCTCATCGCCCGTTGAGCCTAAGGAGGGCAACCTGCGTCCGACATGCAAGCAACCGAAGTCGGGGTTGTCATACAGCATCTACGGCTGTAGGGTGGCTGCTTTTTTGCCATTGACGCAATGATACCTTGCAAGCGCCATTTGTCTCCTGGAACTACGCACTGAAGCAGCAGCAGCATCTCGAATTCTCCTCAGTTCGCCCACCTTCGCGGTGTTTGCCAACGATCGTCAATGTTCTGTCGCCGTAATGGTACGTTGACTGTGTGGTCTCACTGACGTCTTGACGGATAGTTGGGCATGGGATGGAAATGCGTACATCGCAATGTGGCGATGTACGCACCCTTCTCACCTACCCCCGTGTATGAGGATAGTCAGTCCTCGGCTAGGCATATCTTTGAGCCCAAGAGAGTCATTTATCCGCACACGCGCCTATTAGCTGCCATTGCAGCGCTTATTGCCAACGTTGATCTTACCAGTCGGCAGGATATCGGCTGGTATTGCCACTGTTCAGGCCGAGATATACGTTGTCTTACGACAGCTACTGCGTGTCTGATACCCCCCCCCCTAGAGAGAGAAAGTTCTCAACGAAATACCACAGTCTACAGGTTTGACAACTGCGACAGGCGAATCTCGACTTATTCCTAGCCTCTCCCCAACCTTGCTTGTCACATCAATTTTTAGGTCGGGCTTCAACGATGTTTCATTTGCTGTACGGGTGTATACCGCGTTATTCCCTGTGTTTAGACGACCTAGAAGCGCGAATAGAAAGTCTATCCGCGTTGAGTACTACGTCGGCACAACCACACCCCAAAAATGGCGTCGACTGATTTGCCCCGGCCGCAAGTCTTGCTGATCCGGATGCAACGGTCTGTGTTTTCAGACGACGTTCTAGACCTCGATATTTTCTCGTGACTTTGTCCTCCGGACCATTACGACTACGGTAGCCCTGGAAATTTGGCTCTATGAAAGGCAGAATCGAGCGTTGGGTTTCGTAAGGGTAGGCAGCATTGCGACCAGCCAGTGAGGTATCGGTTAAAATCACATGGATAGCGATTGGGCTCTCGAAGGGCTCATGTGATCCATTTCCCGACATTTTGCGGCGTCCACACACGGGGTAAAGAGAAAAGCCTTCTTCCCCCGCACTCGCTGCACGGCGGGTGTCGTGCAACCCCGACCCCGTTACCGGCAGTGGAGGAGGCTTTGACACCACAGCGGCCGGCCGGCGGCGTGTCTCTCTTGACACCTTCGGCCTATGGAAGCTGCCGATCGTCATCCCAGTGCAGTGGCATGCTAGGCCAGAGCCGCCGGCAACGGAGCATTGCCTGGGCAGACGGTGCATCACACCATATCGAGGCTGCATGTGTCTTGTTCTGGGGCGATGATCGGGTCCGGGGTAGGTGGACCTTTTTTCGGGAACTAGAAGTTGCGAAGGGTGTTTCCGTCTGTCAAGCTTTACTTACGATTGCGTCTCTACTCAGAATGGCATGATGGAGAGTAGCTGGAGCGGAGCGTGATTTGACGCTGAACCCAGCAATGGGGGAGACAAGATTTGCCGTTGAAGAGAACGAGCCTTCTCGCCAAACATATCTGCCAGCATCCGTCAACGTCTCCTACTCCGGACTTGGACGGACGAGGGGGAAAACTTTTTCATTCGTCCTGCATAAGCCAATCATCCAAGATGAGAGAATTCATTTGCCATCATCAGCACATCATCCCATCCGCCAACCCTCTCTGCGAAGAAAAAGCTCCGGCTTTTGTTGACCAAGTCTAGAGCCGAACCGGACCTAGCCGAGCCCTCCCTCTTTTTGCAAAGTTTTCCCTTGCTATGCTACGTAGTAGAAAAGCCCAACGACGAGTTAGCGGAAATCCCGCATGTCCAGCCGGTTGGAGAGACGGGCGAGATGCGCTGCCGCTGTCATTGGGTGTTTGCTTTAGTGCGGGATGAGGATTGGGGGCAGAATGGGATGATGGTGGGGGAGGGGGGAAGGGAGTTGGTCTGGATGAAAGGCTAGGTAGTAGGAGGGGGGGGAGAGGTCGCGCAAGTGGACGTGTTTGACAGGCCACCATCTCACCACTCTAGGAGACTCTTAGTCTAGGCATGGTGTTTGGTGTTTGGTGATTGGTTCTGGGGGCTCCAGTACCCTGGGAAGGAGGGAGAGTGCCTTCAGCATCCCTTTTTTTCTGGTGGCTTTTTGAGTCTGATGGTAGAGGTAGGCCTTGTGATTTTGAGGAGGTGGTTGATGGTTGATGAAGATGCGCCTTCTTCTGTGGGCTAGTGGTGATGGTGAGATGGGCATGTTAGGCTTCAAGTCTTGTGAATGTTTGTTGTGTTTATTGAGGGACGGTAAGGTGGCTTTGTTCTGGTCTTGATTTGGTTTTCGGTTGATGACAAGGTGTCAGAGGCTGCTTCCTAGCCTTACTCCCTGTATTTCTACTCCGGTGTCGAAGTATTTCGTGGATAGTTAGAGTGGCCATATAATCGTCAGACAGAGCTCTCTTATGGGTTTACTGAATTCATTGTCAATGTTAGCTGGTCTAGGGAATAGAACAAGGTATTCGCGATACTGGGTATATAATAAAGATCTCATTTATACTTTTGCTCCTTTCTCAATAGCGCATCTCTGTACAAATGCTATCCTATCTAATGGGCTCTTCTTTGTGGCCTGTACTATTTGATCTTGATGGACTCTTTAGGCAGTCTGGAGTAATTTGGTTGAAATCTCACGCATGACACCTCAAGAAAGGTATCAAACCTCGCTTTCATTCTGACCGGTGTTATATGACAAACGGTGGTTTCTTTGCGCATGCCCAAGTTGTAGAGGATGGCTACATTCCTCGTCTTGAGCATTTCCTCTGATAACCTCAGCCTAGGTCAACCCCGTATGGGCTGTTACACGCCGCATTTTGAGAACATTGCAAATTAAGCTAGGTTGAGGGGAATGTTTGTAACAAGATATCCAAGTGTGAACTTTGTATTCGAGACGTACAGATGAATTGTAGGGATACGACGGCGGCGCCGTTCTCATGTCGAGTGCTCTTCACAACAACGATTCGAGCGAGCGAGCTTCTTTGAAGTTGATCCCCTCGCTCGCTTCGTGGATGCCTCAACCCTCAACCCACTACTGCATGCTCTACAAACTTTCAAGGTATATAAAGCGACGTACGCTTCCACATCCGGTCCTCCTTTCTTCACAACAACATGCCAGGAGCTCGCCACAAGAGCCATGTGAGCGCGCCATGGTAGGTGCATACTTCACCCCAATATCCTGTGAAGCAAAAAATGGTGCGAATCGGAACTGGAAGACTGACGGGACACGCCTATTGTGTGAACTCCCTTGGACAAGTGTATATGGTGGAGACCTTGTTCTTTGCTCACACGGCACCTATGCTCGACCGTGTTTGTGATGAGGTACGAAGACCAGGCGGAAGTTTCCAAGAACATGGTTAGGCTTATTCAAAGTGAGAAACCACCTCGCCCTTGCGATGATAGTGACCATGTGGCTTGGTCTCGGGCTCTGCTTGGGTTGTGGCATACATATAGACAAGCTGCTAAAGACTACAAGCACTTTTGCCTTTGCACTAGAGAATCTAGCTCATAACAATGTTTACTTTGCTACGAGCCTCCGCTTTTATATAGAAATTTGCCACATTCCACTAGCTACATAAATTTGTCACTATAGTATTGAGATTAGCCGATGAAAGGAAGAGAGGAGAGGATAGGATTACTATTATGAAAAAGACTAAGGAAACGGTATGAATAAAAATATTGAGTTAAATCCTTTTAACTTTATTTGGGAGTGTTCATCTTTTTCACTCATATACGTATTTTGGAACGAATACGAGACGCTGTAGAAGTTCCTAGTATCGTAGGGCAAATCGTAGCAAGGAGTGCTTGGTTCTCTGGATCACCTTAGGTGCCTAAGGGGGGCGTGCCGGAGGGCCACTCTATATACGGCGTCAGCTTGGAAATTCCGACCACAATTTCAAGTCGGGAATGCAAACTGTTCCACATGGACTAGCTACCTAAATACGGGGCCTCGTAAACATTCTTATAGCCAGTCCTTGGACCGGATGGCCTTTGGAAGCCTTGAAGAGCTGGACTGAACGTAAGGGTGGGTACTTGGTGTTCTTCATTCATAACTCTCTTACTTCTACCAGAAAACAAATATGATTATGAGGATGGCGTTAAGAGAACTTTAAAGACAAATGGGAAGGGATAATAGACTCTGTGCTTTAGTCTTCTAATCCCAATACGTCAGTAAGGGGGTTTGAAGCTTTCCGGGGGAAAGTCGGAAGGGGACACTCGGGCTTTCTCTGATATTTTCCGCTCTTCTCCTTCTTTATATTTTTTTCACCTTGGTGCTATAAGTACGTGGTATCACTAGGCAGGTCCAGGAATGCCCGCTTCAACTCGAGATCCAGCCTGAGTGTCAAAACCTCTCCTTTGTTCCTGTTCAAATGATATGGTAATCCCCTTCTGCCCGTGCTGACATGGAGAAGAAGGATCAACTTCACTTACAGAACTTGATGATTCTCAAAGGAAGAAAATTGTCATATCTCATTGCTCACCAAAGAACTCAGCTTTAGAGGAACATTACGAATGACGGGTCATTCACACATCCGCACCAGCTCCTTGGAACTAATCGAGAACAGAAAAGAAGGCTGTCAACAGGCACTGAGTTGAGTGAAGCAATGTGAAGCACACGCCTAACGAGCAGAAGCCACACGTCCTGATCCTCACATGTCCAGGTCGAAGAGCACAATCACAGCGGCATCATTCAAACTACAGATATTTGACAAAATAGAATCAATGCGTTGCTACTAGGTTCCTAAAGCAAACTATGCTGCGGGGGGCGTATAGCGAATGAATAACACGAGGATGAGCGAGATGAAGAAAGATCCCAGTCTATCTCCCATCCTCTCCTTGAACGCGCAATAGATGCATCAGACCGATCCGTCGTAACCGTGGACTCCCAGTCGGTGTCTTCGTCGTAGAGGTGAGTAGTCCCTCTTCGACGAGCCGACCGTCGTCTGTCTTCGCAGCATCGGCTGCCGTGGGGGCTCCCAGCTGGTCTCCTAAGACGGGCTGTTCCATCCCACCCAGCTCCGGGGCATCACCCGCCAGATTTTAACCTCACCACTACGCAGGTCGTCCAGCTTGAAGCTTTCAACCTTATTCTTCTTGCTTTCGCGGCCCTGCTCCCAGGCGCGAACCTTCTTTTTCGTGCCATCCCATTCCGATACAACCGCCACGTGGTCGGGCTTGCCGACCTCCATCGAGTACTTGGCATGCATGGGACCGTGCTTGCCCTGGAACCGAGCGTTCCGAATGGAAATGATATCGCCAGGCCGGATCTGGTCATTTTGTTGTGTTGAGGCATTGGCCATGTTGGAGTAGACGAGCGCGCCATAAGCTCTGGTTCCAATTGGCGCCAGAGCATCATTGAAAGGCTTCAAGAGTTCGTGGATAAGGCCTTGCGGCGTTCCGTCGCCAACAATCGTTTCCTTCTTGGAGACAACCGCTTCAGAGATTGGTCGTCCAAACCGTTCGTACGATTGCTCGAGCTCATCCTGTCGCAAGGCTCTCGGAGGCGGATCATGTCGTTGATCCAGCTGAACATCGGCAGCGTTGTTCTGGTCGTACTCAACGGTGATGATCGTCTGCGAGTAATCTTGGAAGAGCACATAAATGGTGCGTGTGACAATCGAGCCTGATGTCAAGTCGTCCGTTTCATAGTACAAGTCCTTTCTACCCTGGAAAACGGGAGGCACCGTCTTGTCCTGACGCCACCAACCACTTTGCTTGGCCAAATCAACGTTGTTAGCGATGAAGCCTGATTCTGTGGACATGGA